AAGAATTTATTAAAAAACAATTCTTACACAAAAATACAATTTGAATATAAAAATATCTTTTTTTTATTTAATTTAAGAAACTTTTGCTGATACGTCGAAATAGTTGGGATATGTTAGAGGTCGCACCCTACGACCTCCGGGAGGAATGTGGTCCTCCCGATACAGATAATAATAAAACATTTTATTGGTTTTATTTCAAACACATTCGAGTTTTCCTCTTCACAAACTGCCATGTGATAGTTCGCTTTGATATTCGATATAGCAGGTGATACTTAAAATCGTGAAACGGGAAATATATGGTGACAACAAACAATTTTAATTTCTGTAGGTATTTGTTTGTGTTTTAAAATATTATGTCATATGTTTGTGTTGCTCTCAAGGGCGCCATTAGAGCCTCCTAAACGACACTACCTTTAAGTAGACAGCAGCATCAACATCATCATCATCATCAGCCTATAAGTGCTTGCCGGGGTTGCGGGGTAAGCGTAATGAGGCACCGCGACCTCGGCCCAGAGCAGGAAAAAGAACGGGGGGTTTTTAGTCAGTAAGAGTCTGACACTCCCTCCCGCCCGGCCCTGGGCGGTAGAAGTCATTTGATGATTTTCCCCTCACAAAAAAAAAGCCTATAAGTGCTTACTGCTGAGCAAAGGCCTCTTCTCACACAGAGAAGATTTGAGCATTAATCACCACGTTTGCTCAAGGTGGGTTGGCGAATTCAAATTTCATTTTTTTTTTTCGTTATGTAATAGGTCGGCAAACGAGCAGACGGATGGTAAGCAATCAGCGCCGCCCATGGACACTCGCAACGGAGTAGTTACGAGTGCGTTGCCGACCTTTTAGGGATTAGGGATTTGGAGATTTAGGGATTGAGGAGGGATTGGGGGAGGGGAAGGATTGGGCCTCCGGTAACCTCACTCACACGGCGAAACGCTGTGGTTGTTTCACGCCGGTTTTCTGTGAGGCCGTGGTATCACTCCGGTCGAGCCGACCCATTCGTGCCGAAGCATGGCTCTCCCACACTTAATTTTAAGCAGCATTTTGATTTTGTTCATATTTATTTGTGCACCTATTAAAGTACGCACGTGTGGGATGCGCCAGCCAAGTTTGGCAACACACCAAATTGTTCCGATAATGAGACGAAAATCAAATTCCCTAGAAAATGGGATTCAGTGCAAGGTTTCACGATAGGAGGATTTAGGCTTAATTTTTACGAACTAGGGTAGATACTTTATGTATTAATATGAGGCCGTTAAAATTTTAATAGCACACATGTTAGCACTTGCTCACAATAATTATAGTTTCATCCTCAGAATACAGTTGTTCTGTAATCTGAGGTTTCATCATAATAAAACACTAGGTAAAACTGACATCTTTATTTATGACTTTAAGCGGTAGCCATTTGCTTAGTGTATAATACCTATTTATAAGTGTTTATATAAAAATAATTTTGTTAAATCACAAATAAATCGCAAAGTTGGTGCATAAACTCAACATTACCTCGACTCATATTATTTCTAATTATTTTTAGTTGCATTTGTTATTGTCAGGAGCATTTTAAGAAAAGTAAAGAAAAAAATTGGAGAATTTCGACCCTTTTGTCTTTTGCGAGATGATCGGACACCGTGTTGCTAACAAATAATTGGGATAATTAAATCTTAAACCTACATATCTAGGTACAATTTAAAATTACATTCACATTTAACTATCTATCTAAAGTATATTTTTAATTTATAAAACCCAAGCGAACGCCGGCGTTCGCGCACCTATTGTGTCTCGAAAAACCACAATTGAAAGGTCAATCAATCCACAGCCGCAAACATACAACAAAACAGTTACTTATAACATATCTCCAAAAACACAATCATTCACACTACCTACACAGACAATGTTATATTGGCCCCAAAAATTTTCTTTCGAAACGTCAAAGGGATACCCACGTCCTTAACAAAAATACGTACATATACCTACATACATAAAAAAGTCGCCCTAATCAAATTCCCCACTATTTCCAACCCTCTTTGCTCATATTACCTAACTTCGGTCAACTAACACCGCGCCTTTTAAGCACAAAAGATATTGCAGTACCTACTCGTTACCGTTCACGATTCAAGATTCTCTTTGCAGTAAGATTTTATTTGTAACTCTATATTGTTATAAATGTTGCGTTGTGTTACTCGCTCCAAGACGTTTTCTTTTCCGCGTTGAAAATGTATGCGGTTTTGTTTATTTCTTAATAGTTTTCGTTTTTGTTTTGTTTACGTAATCTATCTATATGTAGTTGTTATCAGCACATAGGTAGATACTTTTTATTTATGGGGTTATACTTAGAGAAATTGTAGGTTATAATTTTACCTTTGGCAGAATTTTAAATTTTTAGTGCCTAAATCTAATATCTCCTTTATGTTACGCGATCACAATCACACGTTGGACTCCCGTACTTATCAAATTTCTCTCTCTAATTAATCATAATTGCCATCATTATGAATAAGGACGGAAGGAACCTTATCATCAAAAGTTAACGTTAAAGAACGCCCAACGCCCTAGGCCAAATAACAGAAAACAAAAAAGAATCGAAATGACTAAGGATCCGTTGCAAATTATATCTTTTGTAAGATAAAATTATTCCTTATCCAGTTGCAATAAAGACTTTTGAAATTTACTAAGTAGCTACCAAGAACTTGTTGGTGGAAGAATGTCTATATTGTACAATGACCCTCTTTTTCAATGACTCTCATTTTCCTATAACTGTAATTGTGAATTAATAAACTTGAACTTGCACCGCCATCTTATATAAATTTTAAATATATAAGCGTACATAAGGATATACGGAGAAAACGTCTTTGTTTTATACTATGTAGTTATTCACCGACGTAAATTATCTACAGAACAATTCTAGTTTCGGCATCTGAAAACTAGTTGTAATTGCTTTAAGACGTACCACTAATACGCGGTTGACTACTCACCTTGTACTTGAATCGACATGTCGCCTGCAGACCTCTATTCCACCCTGTATCACCTCGATCCTACTTGTCGATGCAAACAGCTTAACTCGATTTTCGATGAACTGAAGGATAGCTACCTAAGTCGAAACACGTTTGAATGTTGTTACGAAACTTAGTTCAGGGGATTAGTAGCTATATATACTTTTTATGGCATGAACGAGCATGTGGATTAGTTGATGGTAAGCAATCACCGTCGCCCGTCGCAGTCTTTGGCGGATTGCGCGTCCGGCAATTGTTTCATGCCGGTTTTTAAATTTATCTCTCCGGTCGAGCCGGCCAATTCGTTCCGAACCATGGTTCTACATAATGTGAGAATGTTTCTTTTTCAAAAAGTCGATAATGCAGTATCGGTAATCTGTTTTTTCATTAGATGTGAGATCGCTGTGCCCTAGATTGCAGTCGCTTCGTGTTAAATTGCCTGGCAGTCGAATTCCGTTAGCGATTGGAACTTAGTTGGGAAGTTGAGGATTATTTTTTGTGAATCATTAACCTGGATGGACTCTGAAGCTGTTTGTTTATGAGCTAAAAGGAGGCTTTAATACCCGATGCCCATAGTTCTATGTGACATTTAGATTATTTCATAATTATTTCGGTAGTTGATATCGTCACATAACATTCAATAGCCGGGGTTGCGGGGTAAGCGCAATGAGGCACCGCGACCTCGGCACAGAGCAGGAGAAGGAACAGGGGGTTTTTAGTCAGTAAGAGTCTGACACTCCCTCCCACCCGGTCCTGGGCAGGAGAAGTCATTTGATGATTTTTCCCTCAAAAAAAAAAAACATAACATTCAATATTATTGCAAGACAATTCGTGTTGCCGGGTCTGGGTGTAACGTGAAATCATAAACGCTCTCACGACACAGGAGAACATTCTAGTGTAGAGCAATGTCTTTTTAACATCAAATTACATCGTTGTTTGAACCTTAAAAAATGCTTGTTTGTTTATGAGTAAATTGAAATTGAGACAAGTTGGTAATACTTTCTGACTTTGAGGCAAGTAGTTGATACTTTTTCTAACTAAACACACAACGATTGCGTTGAAAATAGAAGACTTAGTCTAGATATTTTTAGAATATTTATAAATACTTGACTTCGGATATGGTTCGTAACTCGGCAGTAGCACTAAGATGTTATCGCTTTTAGTGTCGATCTGAAGAATAATATTTACCGAGCGTCCAGTCTTTTAAAGGAAGAATAGTATAGCCACATTTTATAAGACGCAGCATAAGGTAAAATAATAAAGGCTTTTTGAGAAGGTTTTTGAAATCGAATGAGTTCTCTCGTCCAGGGTGGAGTGAGATGGAGTGTCAGACTCTTACTGACTAACCACGCCGTTCTATCTCTGGGGCCACGGCACATAATACGCTTGACCCTCAACCCCTAATATGTCATTACATTATTATTGTCGATTTTTGTGTTTTTATAGCCAATAGGAGACCTGTATCACACGGGAATATAGGAACATAGGGCATCCAATATTGGCCTTTAGGCCAACCATGACGTGTTAAAGCGAGAAAGAGGGATGGAGCTATAAAAGGTGTATAGCTATAAAAGGTGTATAGCTCCATCCCTCTTTCTCGCCCGGACCCGGACCGCCCAGACCCTCTGTACTTTTAAGATCGAGGTTGGTTGTTTCAGTGATAATTTGGTTCATTGTTCGGCGATGAAGAATCGTTAAGGCATAATATCTTTTTCTTTCAATACCGTTCAACCTAAGTATTTTTTTCGTAAAGTTATTTATCATAATCTCTGTAATAACTCCGGTTTCTCCCACCTTAGGTACTGACGTTTCAGTACCTATACGAGATACTTTTGTTTTTTTCGTCACGACTGTTGCGACGACTAAAAGGATGATGTTTTTTTCAATAAATATAGAGATGAATGCAGAAGACAGTCTTCTTGTTTCAAATATGTCCAACTATTTCGGGAATCGACCCCTCATTGATTTCTTATCGACACTGTTTATTTTATTAATAACAACCTTTATCATTGTCCACAGTGGTAATGGTTACTTCGGCGTGGTAGTGTGCTTGGTGGTGGCGTGGTGCGCATGCGTGGCGGTGTGCGCGCCGGCCCAGCTGTGCGCGGGCGCCGCGGACGACGACCCCAGGGCCGCGCGCTTCTGCCAGGCACTCAACACCTTCCTCGAGCTTTATGCTGAGGCTGCTGGGGAACAGGTGCCTGAGTACCAAGGTGAGGGGATTTGGAGATACATTTTTTACTTTTTTATGCTATGAAGGGCACAAAAATGCGAGTAGTATGATGGTAAGCACGCAACGCTTCTCACGGATCAAAGGAGTTACAGTACTATGATAATACGAAAAACGTAAACATTTTCATCACAACGTATCGTCGTTGCGACATTAGGTACCCATATATCAATAGGAAAGCCCATTTGTAAGATGACCATTTTCTCCCCCAGCCCTGGTCCGCGACTACCCACAACTCCTGGACACCGGCATGAAGCGGCAAGACGTGGTGCACTCGTTCCTGCGCTTTGGCCGCCGGCGCTGACCAGTCGGCCCCCCGCCGCGACCACGCCGCGTCCACGCCAAACCACCGCAACCCACACGCAGCGACCAGGCTTAGATTCTTTGCTAATATAACATACATTTAGTTCTTTACGTTATTTCGTCCAAAATATTTAAAAGTTCCTTTATAATGTAAGTCCGTATCCAAATGCTAGGTATCCCGAACTGCGAAAATTAAAAAAAAAACTCATTCAACATCGAGACGTCAACAAGAGCAGACGTCTAAACCTCTCTCTCCAAATTTAATAGACTAGATTTAGAACTTATTATAATGAAATGTACTTATTGCTAAAAGTATTAATAGTGTTTAAGATGTAATTAAACGATCTTGTTGTCAACATTTTTGTGGCATTTCATTTGGTAAGTGTAAGAATATTTAAATAATTATTATGATGTTTTAAATAAATAAACTACGTATTTATGACAGCTTTTTGATATTTTTTTGAAACCCCCTGTTCCCACATTTTTATGAGTACGTTATAACTTTAAATTACTCCTTTAGCCCTGGGAGGGTCGAATAGGTGTGTCAGACTCCTACTGACTAAAATCACCCCGTTTCTTCAACTATTCTTGATGGGAGCCGATTCGATAGCTGCGCTTGCACCCGCAACCCCGTTACATAAATTGGCAGCATTCACGATTTTATAGCCAATTAATAGATATTATAAAAGTTGCTAATTAAAATCGACTTTAATACATTGTAATAAGGGCACTAAAACATGATCCTAATGTGACACGATCACATAAAATAAGTTTTAATTACTTCATAAATTGATCTCATGAAGTTTTATTAGTATGAGCTATAAAATGTGTGAGCGTCGAGTAACAAATATGGGAGGTTTAGTTAGGTAAGTTTTGGGGAAATTAATGAAAGACATTATATAAACATTTGTCATATATTTCGCTCTAGGACACACATGTAGACAATATACATAAAAAACATTCGAAAGAGCGGCTAGTAAGTACTGCTTTTTACAATCAATACAGTTATTCGTAATTAAAAAAAATATACAGTTTTATAACCAAAAACATGAAAATAGAAATGAAATTAAGTACAGAAACCGGAATTCGGGTAAAGATACTAGGGCATATTTCTTTAAATTTCTAAGTTAGTTTTGGTAGTTAAGAAAACATAGGTAACATAAGTGAAAAATTAATAATCTTTACAATTGATAGTGGAAATTGGAAAGGTTCACTGCCAAAGATGTAAAATGTTAATGTTAGTTAGTGTTGTTTATAAAATTGTTGCTGTCACTGTCTTACACAAACATTCTGACGCGACAGCATCATCATTTTTCCCAGCTAACTTTCTGGCCATTGAAAAATCAGCCCTTAATATTAATAATTATAGTATTGATTTGATTGATTATATTATTAATATTAAGGGAGATTTATAAATAATAATATTATTAATTAAAGTTTCGAATAGACGCACATAAATATTTTAACATACTCAAAGATAGCGAAGCGTTTCCAATTTCTTTCGTAAACCATTATTTTTATTTTTTTGTTACAATTGCTTTCTAAATCATCAATCATAATCCTATAATCAATTAATCAAAATAACTATTGGAGTAAATTTATACGAAACTATTTTCCGTTTGCATAAATATAGGTCATAATTATTTTGAATTTCCATGTGTTACGTATAAGTGTAGTGATACATTACTTGGGCTATTTCTAAGTAAAATAATACAGTTACATAAAAACAAAGCGACACTCAATAAAATACCTTAAGACCAAAGTGTTAAGGATAATTTTGTGCCTATTGAGTTATTCTAGAATGTTCTACAAGTACATAGTAATACAAAGTTATAAAGCATGAGAGCATACGACGTATATTTTGGTAAATTCATGATATATAAAACTTTTAGGTATAATTAGGTACTCAAATAGGAGAATAATTATACTTATGGTGACAAAATAGCAAATATTTTATGAAAATTCCCTTTATGTGTATATACGTATAGTCCAATACAAACGAGCGTTATCATCACAGCGTTTTACATAAGAAACTTTATGTTTTTATACAAAACCTCCAGAGACATAAATCGTAAGTACTTTCGCCTCAGTAACGCCATCTATTGAGGCAGTTAAAAAGCTCAATTCGTTCAAAAAGACTTTACATGTTTTACTGTAACGTTAAAAGCAACACGGATGACAGTTTTCGTTTCAACTGATATTAATTTGTTAAAACGAAAACAGTTGTAACGATCTTTTAAAAGCAAAATTAAGAAAAATATAATCTATACTTATTAATATTATAAAGAGGTAAAATTCGTAAGTTTGTATGTAGGGGGTAATCTTTGGAACCACTGGTCGGATTGCCAAAATTCTTTCACTGATAGATAGCTACAATGTTCCTGAGTGTTGTAGGCTATAAAACATCACGCTATGATCAAAAGAGCTGAGCAGTGGCTGAAACCGCGCGAGAGCAGCTAGTAAGTTATAATTTTGTCACCAAAAGTGTAACGATACAATAAAAAAATACATAGCACCATACATTCACCACTAACCGTAGAGTTATTTACAATAAATTAACAAAATCAAATTATTATACCTAAATTATTTACATACATATTAGGCCACACATTTATCTAGTGAAGATATCTGCACTGTGACTAAAATTTTATTACAACGCCATCTATTGAGTGCAAATATGTAAATTCTGCTTTTCTTCATTATAAAATAACTAACTAAGGATGAGGTTAAACTCAGAGTTGTAAAAATAAGGATATTTTTAACTCGCCCTAAAATTTTTATTTATACATGTTCAGATGGCTTTATTTTCTTTGTGTGGCAAAAGAAATTATGAGAAATTGATACAAAGTAAGTGAGAAGCATCTGCCAAGGGTATTTGTAGAAAAAAATGATACCTAATGATACCTACATTTTACAATAATTAATAAAACTTTGAACTTTTTGATGATCGTAACATTCCCGTAGTTTTATTTTCCGAATAGGTATTTTCTTTACACTAAAAATTACATTTGTTAGGGCAAGAATTTGAAGGCTAGAAAACGAAAAAAACAAAAATGATAACATTAACTACGTTTTCTTATTGACATAAGAGTCAGATCACATCTAAAGGAAAATACATCGTGTAATAACCGGTCCAACTCCAAAAAAATATTATTTAAAACTGAATCGCAAAATTTGCGTAAACGTATAACTCAAAAACGCCTGGCCAACTTTGCCAATTCCTTTTTTATTGTGTTTGATTGTCAGAATTTTGCATTCCTATGAATATTAATAATATTATTTCCGTCTCCTGTTCTGTTCCGAGGAGAGTACTGGTAAATAATTACGCTTGCAACCCCGCCCCGTCTGTTACTCAATCTAGACATAATTTTGTACTACTAAAAAACCTCGGTAGTTCGAATTTTTCTCCCCATTGGTAAAAACAAGATAAGTTAAAGAAAGACTTGATAAAATTGGTCCAAGCGTTCTTGAGTTATGTGCTTACCGATACATTTTGTGCTTCATTTTTATACATATTATGTATAAAAAAAGACTTGATAAAATTGGTCCACACACACACACACACATTTTGTGTATACATATTATGTATAAAAATGAAGCACAAATGTATCGGTAAGCACATAACTCAAGAACGCTTGGACCAATTTTATCAAGTCTTTCTTTTACTTATCTTGTTTTTATCAATGAGGAAAAAAGACTCGATCTTTCGAGTCTTTTAGTAGTACAAAATAAAATACTCAATGTTTCGCACCTAATTAATGTTACGTTAGTGCATTGCCCGTACGTCACTGCTACGCCCGACGCATCTTCCGTCAGATGTGAACGATTCTACAACGATTTAGAAATAACAATATTTCATATATAAATAAGAGAATATTAAATTACAATAAAATTTTATTTAAATTATGGAGTGAATCGTTTCAGAGACATCAACTAACACCAATATTTGTCTTATAAAATTCTATACATAACATCCATTCAAAAGAGGGCGAATCTTCAATCTTTTTTTTTACAATTTACGGCATTTGGCCTGTTAAGTAAAATCAATATTATTTGCAAACTGATATTTTTTTAATTGGGCGGAATAGGTGATATTTTCCTATTATTTTCATTTCTTTATTTCCCATCAGATTAGACAAATCAGAAAAAACACTAACGGCTTATTAAAAAACAGTGTTTTTCTTTATTCTAAGTTTAAACAATTGAGCCAGTTTTTATTTTTCGATCTCACCTACCTTCAATTTGAAATACAAAACCGGACTCACATCCGGTTTCGGAAAGGCCGATCAATGTTAAAATCAATTTAATCTCTTGTCAAGTCGTCTGATTGGTTGACTGAATTATCGACAACCAATCAGATGACTTGACAAGAGATTTAACAGGAGATTAGTTAATTTTAGTGTTGACAAGCCTTTCAGAAACCGGGTGTCATGGTTCAAACACAAATAAAATATAAACCTTGTAAAAGTAGGATCGTACGTACGTCCCCATATTTTGTTTTAGACACATTTAATTGTTGCTATGCATTAAAAAAGATAAATATTAAATTTTTACAGCGAACACATACGAATAATAACATTCTTATCACACACATAATATATATAATTTCCTATTATAATAAAAACGTTTACATTGAAAATAACTGAGTATATTAAAACAGTCTGACTTAACTCTAAATTGAAATACAGGAAACATGCATTAAGATATTTTACAAAAATACAGTCACGTGCAAAACAAAAAATATATTTTTTCATCATTGGTATAATTCAATTTAAATTTTATAATTAACAAAAGCTACTTACAAGCTTTTCTAAAAAATAAATTTTAACAATGAAAAAATCTCTTTAAAATTATTTCTCAATATTTTTGCACCTGACTGTACATCCACACGTCAATTGAGCTAGAGTGACTGCTCAATAATCATTAGGACAAAAATCGGTAAGGATGTTGTAAATGGCGTTCCACTTTCAACTTTCTTTCAAAAACATAAGGTTGAAAATCAATGAACAGTTGGAAGATTATTGTCGCTATAAATGGTGGGTAAAATAAACCTTACCGTTACCAAAATACAGTTCAAAAAACCTTTTACAGACGTGTTTTTACTAAAAGAAGCGATAAAAAGAAAATCTTATGCTAAATTAGTTGCACAAAAACCCTTATAAATTAAAAATCACATAATCGGAACACAGATTAGGGCAATATTATCAAAATCAGCAAATTAATTACGTACCTACTTATAAATGTACAAATATATAATAAATATCATAGACTAGCGGTTGCCCGCAACTCCGCCCGCTTGGATGTCGAGGTTAAACTTTTGCAAGATATAAAAAAAACTTTACGTATAAACCTTCTTCCTAATAATAATAATAAGACTTCCACAAATAATTCAAGACCAAAATTAGCCAAATCGACAACGGTATTGTTGAGTTATAACATTACAACGAAAAGTGGCATTGATTTTATATATTTATAGATATGTCATGTAGTAGTTTAGGAAATTCAATATGTTATATGAACTATGTCGCCTCCTACAGAGAGTAGACATTGACCCTGTAAAAGAAAAAATATTTATAATAAATATAAATAACTTACCAAAGAATCTGTATGTAAAACACTGATTTAAAAAGAGTAACCATGAAGTATCTTGTTCGTTCTTATTACCCATCAGAATCTATACTTTGGAACGAGCAAATAGCTTCACTAAGAGGACTGACCGGCAGACTGACACTTTTTATCATTAAGCTTTGTTAATTGGATTTTTTCAGAGACAAAGTATCGTCTAATTCGAGATAAGCGATTTTGCATATAATAAATACTCAGAAAATGCGAAATAGTATTAAATGCGAAAGTAAGTTTTATAAAACCTTTATATGCTTTATCTTCTCAACTAAGCCATCAAACTAAGCCGTCAAAACCTCCCGAATTGTTATAAATAGGTTATTTGAACCGTTTTCTTGTGCATGTGGTGTTAACCTTTAATTAATTGTTGCACTTGTAAATGTTACACCAATCATTAACTTACAATAAATGTATAAGTGTAAACTATTGTTGGTTAACCTAAATAAATAAATAAATAAATACGCCGCAACTCCTGCAAGCCATGATCTACATAGATACAACCATGAAAACACAGGTACACTGAAGTCCGGCGCGTCCCAGGGACATGAATGACTGCTTTGGATCCCGCGACGAAATAAATTAAAAGATATTATTTGTGGAAAAGAATATTTTTTATGTAATAGGTCGGCAAACGAGCAGACGGGTTACCTGATGGTAAGCAATCAGCGCCGCCCATGGACACCCGCAACTGGGGAGTTACAAGTGCGTTGCCGACCTTTTAGGGATTAGGGATTGGGTAGGGGAAGTATTGGGCTTCCGGTAACCTCACTCACGCGGCGAAACACAACGCTGTGGTTGTTTCACGCCGGTTTTCTGCGAGGCCGTGGTATCACTCCGGTCGAGCCGAAGCAGTTAGGTTAGTGAGAGGGTAAAAGTTAGTGTATAATGAATATTTTACCTGATTTTTATGCGCATTGTCCTGCAGCATGAGTTGTGTGATGTAAAAGGACGTAAGAGCGTTCCCGCCCAGCGCCGCCGTGTACGCGCGGACTATCGCCATTACCTGAGGAAATATTTTCCATTGTTAAACGATCTGTGACAAAGTTAACAATACATTATTATTTTGTACACTAACTCTCTTGTGAGGCTTATCTAATTATTTTTTACTAGCTTTTGCCTGCGACTCCGTTCGTGTGGAATCCGTAAAAACAATTCTATGTCCTTTCTCGAGTTCCAATCTCTGTCTGTACCAAATTCACACAGACAGACATACAGAGTTACTTTCGTATTTATAATATTAGTATAGATTTTCAACAGCTTAGGGCCCCCCTAGCGTAGCTTGAAACTAGTCGAATACCTCGTCAAATAATTACGTGAGTGAGCGGTCAAACATGATGGTCATACATTTTTATTAACAAAGAAGTTAAGTCAAGTATCGTCAGTGGTGGCCGGAGGTTAAGACCTTTTCTCAAGCAATATGGGTGTGAGTTTGATACATGTCAAGGCCACAATGACACTTTTTAAGTTTCATATGTACTTTCTTAATTTATTTAGACAGCACTGATAAACGATGAAGGAAAACAGCGTTGAGAAAACCTACCTAGACTAAAAATAACATTTCTAATTATTAGTTTGTAATCGCTAATCCGCCACGAGCAAGCGTGGTGATTAATGCTATAATCTCTGTGTGAGAGAAGGCCTTTCCTCTATATTTATAGGCCGATGATGAAGATGGTGATGTCACAAATATCTTACCTCACAAGTAAAGGTATGCAGGAATCCGCTAAGGCCGCCAAGTTCCCGCACGGCGGTGGTTTCCCGGACGAACAGAAGGCGCAGGGCGCACAGGCGGCGGGAGATACGACTACCACTGATATGGGACAGCGTCGTTAGGGACACTGTGGTCGGGACCTAGGGAACAAGAAATGAACAACATATAAGTAAGGTATTATAGCCTAAAAGTCATACCACGGCCTCAAATAAAACCGGCGTGAAACAACGGCAGCGTTGTGTTTCCAGTGCTTCTTCTATATCTAGCCGGGTATGCCGAAAAGCGCACTCTTCACACACCCAAAGAAAATCTAGTTATGGAACTTTTTTTAAGGAGGATTTTTTTCTTCTCTCGCCCAGGCTGAGGCGAGAAAAGTGATAGTCTGTTAAAGACAAAAATCACCCCGTTCCTTCGCTTGTTTGAGGCCGAGACCGCAATGCCTCATTGCGCTAACCCCGCAACTCCGGCTGAACACCAGCCTTATAGGGCCCCGTCTGTGGTGGTCTATTGGCTCTTTGAGGCGATCGCAGCGCGCTGTAAGCTTGGGTCTGGTTCTGGTCGGGAGGCGAGTTACCCTTACTCGCCGTCCGCAGACCCGCGCTTACGGTGGCCGGAGATCGTCTCTCGATCCCTGGCTGAAGAGATTGTAACCTAACACAACGTTTTTACACCCTTAATATCTCTTTACTCACCTGTCCATTTATAGAATTCTTCTCTTCAGGTAACTCAGGTGGACTCTTTACAAGTTGTTCTTCATCTAACTCGAAGATATCATCGTCTGTTTCTCCCGTCCCGTTGCCATGGCTACCGTGACTGCCCTGACTGCCTTGACTGCTATGACTGCTCGGATGTCCATTCTCGACTGTGTTCCCTTCTGGACTGTTCGGGTCTTGAAGAGGGATGGCTGCTCCTGATACTATTAGTTGGATTTCGTCCTGGGAATAAATAATAAAAATTATAATAATTTCTGTTGTCCCTCTGTTGCTATTACTAGTAACCATTCCCGGGGGCCCGGTCGGTGAGCTGGCCTGCCATTTTTACGTGTATTAATTACATAGTTCCCATCATACTAGTCCATAGCAACCCACACCCATAGCCTTATCCCTTGTTTCAATTATCCGCAATAATCGTATACTAACCGGGGACTGTCCTTGGGTGCATTTCCATAGCGCATACTCGTAAAGGGATAGTCGCCGGTTTGTGTCCCATTTCATTTATTTTATAGACATTAAGTTTTTTTAAGTATGAATGTAGTAAAAACTGTAGTCGTGTTTTTTATGTGATATGTTTGCGACCAAAAGAGCAAACGGATTATCTGATGGTAAGCACTCAGTGCCGCCCATAGAGACCCGCAACAACAGAGGAGTTACGAGTGCGTTTCAACCTTTTGAGATTTGGAAATTTTGACAAGTTGAATAAGAGCCATGGTTCGGCACGAAAAAGAAACCTCATTTTTTGTCAATGACCTATGCGCGCGCATAGACAAACTGATAAATTATTCCCGCCATTACGAAATATTTGTTGAAACTTGTCTCATTTTCTCTATTAAAGTTATTTTGGTTTTTATTTAAGTGTTATTTTATTCCGAAGTGTGTTGAAAAACTTCGTATGATACACGTTGATGGTTACCACCCATCTGGCTCTGGCTCGGGCTAATGTGCCTTGCGGTAATCACCAAGACTAGTACCATAATTAATGTAGTATTAGATGGCGGCATAGTAGTTACCTCAGGCAGTTCGAGCTGGAACCGTGGCGCGACGAGGGCGGCAGGAAGCAGGCGGCGCAGCTTGTACGCCACGCCGTCCAGCGCAATATTTACAATGTATTGGCGTGTTTACCTCAGGCAGTTCGAGCTGGAACCGTGGCGCGACGAGGGCGGCAGGCAGCAGGCGGCGCAGCTTGTACGCCACGCCGTCCAGCGCAATATTTACAATGTATTGGCGTGTTTACCTCAGGCAGTTCGAGCTGGAACCGTGGCGCGACGAGGGCGGCAGGCAGCAGGCGGCGCAGCTTGTACGCCACGCCGTCCAGCGCAATATTTACAATGTATTGGCGTGTTTACCTCAGGCAGTTCGAGCTGGAACCGTGGCGCGACGAGGGCGGCAGGCAGCAGGCGGCGCAGCTTGTACGCCACGCCGTCCAGCGCAATATTTACAATGTATTGGCGTGTTTACCTCAGGCAGTTCGAGCTGGAACCGTGGCGCGACGAGGGCGGCAGGCAGCAGGCGGCGCAGCTTGTACGCCACGCCGTCCAGCGCAATATTTACAATGTATTGGCGTGTTTACCTCAGGCAGTTCGAGCTGGAACCGTGGCGCGACGAGGGCGGCAGGCAGCAGGCGGCGCAGCTTGTACGCCACGCCGTCCAGCGCAATATTTACAATGTATTGGCGTGTTTACCTCAGGCAGTTCGAGCTGGAACCGTGGCGCGACGAGGGCGGCAGGCAGCAGGCGGCGCAGCTTGTACGCCACGCCGTCCAGCGCAATATTTACAATGTATTGGCGTGTTTACCTCAGGCAGTTCGAGCTGGAACCGTGGCGCGACGAGGGCGGCAGGCAGCAGGCGGCGCAGCTTGTACGCCACGCCGTCCAGCGCAATATTTACAATGTATTGGCGTGTTTACCTCAGGCAGTTCGAGCTGGAACCGTGGCGCGACGAGGGCGGCAGGCAGCAGGCGGCGCAGCTTGTACGCCACGCCGTCCAGCGCAATATTTACAATGTATTGGCGTGTTTACCTCAGGCAGTTCGAGCTGGAACCGTGGCGCGACGAGGGCGGCAGGAAGCAGGCGGCGCAGCTTGTACGCCACGCCGTCCAGCGCAATATTTACAATGTATTGGCGTGTTTACCTCAGGCAGTTCGAGCTGGAACCGTGGCGCGACGAGGGCGGCAGGCAGCAGGCGGCGCAGCTTGTACGCCACGCCGTCCAGCGCAATATTTACAATGTATTGGCGTGTTTACCTCAGGCAGTTCGAGCTGGAACCGTGGCGCGACGAGGGCGGCAGGCAGCAGGCGGCGCAGCTTGTACGCCACGCCGTCCAGCGCAATATTTACAATGTATTGGCGTGTTTACCTCAGGCAGTTCGAGCTGGAACCGTGGCGCGACGAGGGCGGCAGGCAGCAGGCGGCGCAGCTTGTACGCCACGCCGTCCAGCGCAATATTTACAATGTATTGGCGTGTTTACCTCAGGCAGTTCGAGCTGGAACCGTGGCGCGACGAGGGCGGCAGGCAGCAGGCGGCGCAGCTTGTACGCCACGCCGTCCAGCGCAATATTTACAATGTATTGGCGTGTTTACCTCAGGCAGTTCGAGCTGGAACCGTGGCGCGACGAGGGCGGCAGGCAGCAGGCGGCGCAGCTTGTACGCCACGCCGTCCAGCGCAATATTTACAATGTATTGGCGTGTTTACCTCAGGCAGTTCGAGCTGGAACCGTGGCGCGACGAGGGCGGCAGGCAGCAGGCGGCGCAGCTTGTACGCCACGCCGTCCAGCGCAATATTTACAATGTATTGGCGTGTTTACCTCAGGCAGTTCGAGCTGGAACCGTGGCGCGACGAGGGCGGCAGGCAGCAGGCGGCGCAGCTTGTACGCCACGCCGTCCAGCGCGCGACGCACGTGACGCTCCACGCACGCACTGCCCCCACCCCCACCTCCGCCTAGGGAGAGCCGTCCGCGCCATACCTACGGAGGGATACGAATCAATATAGGCTAAAGGAAAAGTGTCCTTACACGAGGGTCAAACTGAAAGTTCTTGGAACTGGCCACTTATAAAAACAAAATAAAAAAAATGTAAAATTTAAAAATAGAACTCTTTGCCAATATAGCTGAGTATATATTTTATTAATTTGTCATTTGTTTTACGATTTGGCGGCAGATTAAAAATTGTCTGTGTCACGTCAACATGAATTTAACACGAGAAAATTTTCGTGAAATGATTTTTTATGACTTTCGATGTCATTTAAGTCAACAAGAAAGTTCTCGTACGACTATTTACAACTGATTTAATGAGTTTAAACGTGGTCGCACTAATCTCACTGAAGATTTACGTGAGGGACTTTACGCCGGAACAGCTGCTTAAACTTTATCAGGCGCAAGTTCGATCGGTTATGGAGTTCTGCTCTCATCTTTGGGACGGATCTGCCCGATACCAACTTGATGCGCTTGAGTCTATTGAGAGGCGAGCCAAAAGGATCATTGGCGATGATGCACTTGTCGAGTCGAGACTTCAAAGTCTTGAGCATCGACGCCGAGTTGCTAGCCTGTCGGTTTTCTACCGGTTGCATTTCGGGGAATGTGCGTTGGAATTACATAATTTAATTCCGCCTAGCCCGTTCCATCATCGGACCACCAGACGTACGGCATTGCGCCACCGGTACATGGTGGATGTCCCACATATACGTACAAAACGTTTTGGGAGCACATTCATTATGCGTACAGCCAAGGAGTGGAATTCCTTGCCGGAGTCAGTGTTTCCTGATAGCTACAATCTGGGTATCTTTAAGTCAAGAGTGAATAGGTTACTTCTAGGTAAGCGCGCTCCATCGTCGACCGCATCGTCGCTTTCCATCAGGTGAGATAGCGGTCAAGCGCGAACCTATAATCAATAAAAAAAAAAAAAATAAACAAAAAAGGGACGGCCTTTTCGGCGACGACTGAAACTAACATCTGTGTTGTGCGGTGTATGATAGAGACTGACAAATAAGTGACACATCAGCAGATTCGGACAAGCTTAGGCATCGGTATGAGTCAAGTGCACAAAATCCTCCACGAATATTTAGCGGTCAGAAACTTTGCGCCCGGTGGATACCTCATAATTTGACTGAGGCTCAAAAACTCCATCGTGTGGTTCGTAAAATGATTGAAAGATTTAACGGAGGTGACTCAAATGCTGTGTTCGATATACTAACAAGTGACGAATTCTGGATTTACTGTTATGATCCTGAAACCAAAAGACAATCTGCTCAGTGGGTGTTTCCTTTCGAGGAGTTGCCAACTAAAGTGAAGAGAGATCAAAGTGCGGGAATAAAAATGGTAGCCTCGTTCTTTGGAAGGATAGGTCATTTCGCAACAATTGTGTTAGAGGATCAAAAAACAGTTTCTGCAGAATGGTACACTACCAATTGTTTGCCACTTGTTTTGGAAAAAGTTCGAGAGAAACTACCTCTTAGTAGGATTCTCCTTCACCACGACAACGCCTCGTCGCACACCGCCAAGCGAACGATCGACTATTTGGCGACATCAAACGTTGAATTACTGGGTAACCCGCCGTATACCCCCGACCTCGCGCCTTCTGTTTTTTATTTATTTCCAAAAATTAAAGAAAATCTCAAAGGAAAGCTGTTAATGAATGCTGAAGAACCGGTGTCTGCGTATCGCGATGCCATTGAAGAGACCCGAGTGCCATTGAAGAGGACGAGTGGGCAAAGTGCTTTTCCCAGTGGTTCCATCGCATGCATTGTATGCGGTGTATTGACGAGGATGGACAATATTTTGGAAAGATATAATAAAACGAATAACTGGCTAATGTAATCAGTTTTTGATTTCCTAAGAACGTCCAGTTTGACCCTCGTATAGGAAAAATTTGCTAATACCTATAGAAAGACTGTAATATGTTTACAGCTTTCTAATTGTATGTTAACTTTACAACTTTTTTCGTCGTGAAATATACTAAATTTATTGGACAATCAATACGTAGAATGACGTAATTTTATCTGAGAAAAGCTCATCTAGGCTATATTTTTCAAGAATTGTGGTAACACCGCAACGCGGGAGTTGAACATGAATAAAATTCGTTATAACTTGAATCTAGTCGAGCTTTTCTCAATTGTTTTCGTCATATTCAACAAATTTAGTATGTCTCACAATAAATAAATAACCAATAAAGGACTTATTCAAAGAAATGTGATAAATGAAATTACATTTTTCGTTAATTTTTGGTACCATTCGTTCAATATGATTAAGTAAAAAGACTTTCCAGGCATATTTAATAAAAGACAGTGACTTTTTCAAATTAACATATACAATACTACAAAGAAACATGACAACGATCAAATCATTTGTTTCAATTACACCATCATAAGCATTTTTGAACGCCAACAGTTGTAAGTATACGAACCTGCGCAAACGCCTGCGGCGGGGCTCCAATGACGGGTTTGAGTCCGTGCGTGTACACCTGCATGTTCACGTGGCGCTTGGCTAGCGCTCGTGCTGTTTCCACCTACATCATATAAAAAGGAGAACATGTATCAAAGTCAAAAACATTTATTCCGACTAAATCATAATAAGGTACTTTTGAAATAAAACATACGTCAAAATAGAATATAGTCTGTCAGTCTATGACTGCACGGTTGGCGCGGTGGTTGGGCAACTGGCTGCGGTGAAACGTATCGCCAGTTGCCCTTTGTATGTATATATTTTGTTTGTGTGATCAACAAATTGTTGGACCCGGATCTGGGTGACTTGTATATGTGAATTTATGTTTGTAAATACACCCAAGACACAGAAAAAAGGGATCAATATTTGAAGGACTAAGTCAAGTGTCAATTGTTCATTGTCAATTTTGGTATAATCACAAATAATATTACTAATATTATATAATCAGCTAAGTTCCATGCGGGTCACAATATTATAAATATCTCGGATGGACTTTTACTCGCAACATTTTGCGTTTATAGTACTATTATTTTTATAACAGAGAGGATATATAAACACTCCGTTCGAGCTAGCTTCTTGTGCCGAATCTCGCCTAATTACTAGGATATAGTACTACTACTACTACTACTACTACTACTATATATTATTACTTACATCTTCAGCCTCGTCGAGTTCTAGTACGCATGCGTCCTTGTCGGCGCAGAGATCCAGCGCGGGCGCATCCTCGCCCTCCATCTCTGGGAGCGCGCCGTTTGTATTGTGCTCAGTACCACCTGCAAGACATTATATATTTATAGAACATGTATTGTATTTTGTACTGTATTCTACATAATTATAATGTATAGGAATATAATAACTACAAATTTCAAATCATTTCTTTATATTAAATAAGAAGATATTCTATTCTCTCTAGGAGCAGACTACTGATGCTTTTTGTAAGTAATTCTAGAATCCAATGGAAAGTTGTTATGAAGAAAAAGAATTGGGAAAAATATCGAAAAGTAAATTCAGCACAAATTCTAACATCATCAATAGATTAGTAACAATGTCTTTTTAATAAACGAACTAAAATAAAGTTTTTCTAAAGTGGATTTTAGAACATTATTTTTCAATCACCATCAACCTATAATCAATAAAAAAATAAATAAAAAAAAACAAACTATCTTCTTTTGGGAGGGAGGGGGGATGGCAACCGTTAACTGGCTTTTATCTTTCTGGATGGGGCAAGAGAGAGTATGAGACTCTTACTGACTAAAAACCGCCTCGTTCCATCACCTGCTAAAGGTCGGGGCCACGGTACATTATTTTGCTTGACCCAACAACTCCAGCTAACCTTTAAAGTACTCAACGTGTATTCAATAGCTTCTACCTACAATACAATACTCACCAACATCAAATCCGTTGGCCATTCGGTTAGCCGCAAACGAATCCCACAGAGCTTTCTGTATTTCCAATGCATCTTTGTCGTTTTCTGATGCCTGAAAATATTATTGCTATTTAATCAACCATTGCCTACTTCGTTGATGGAGTGGTCGCAAGTATCGTAGCCAAGTATAGAGTCTCAAGTTTCATTCCCGGTTAGTAGTTTCTCCGGGTATAAAAGGAGTGACGATATATTTAGGTAATTGGGTAGTTGCCTAGATCAAAAATAATTACAATTTTATTCATCGATCTGTCGATACACTAAATTTTGTATATTTTTAAGCAAATTTTTAATGCTTGGGCCACGCTAACGGGAATTACCATTAAATATCGGGACAACGGACGTTAATTGTAGGTGTAATTTGATCACTAAACAATTGATTTAAGGCATATTTTTCATTGTTTAATATCAAAAATTATCGCGATAATTATTGGCCTTTGCCGTTTCCGTGGTCCAAGCACAAAAAGTAAGTAGGCTATGTGACGCTCAAATACTATGACGACTTAATTCGCAGTGTCTTACAAATTTCACAGCAAGATATCGTTTTTGACATTTGTTAAAAGTATTTAATTTGACTTGTTGGAAACTACCGGTCAAATTCAATACTTTTGATTGTTGATTTCTATTGACTGTTTCGTCATACTACATCTTTGTAATGTCCGTAAAAATTTCAAAAAAAATCTTGAAAAAGTGCCAAATCATCATCGATCCAAGCGTGCGGAACCACGGGCGACCGCTAGTTTGGTATACTCATACACGACTACACATCAAGCTACTTAAAACCAGTTAGCAAGACGCATATCAATCTCGCTTTGTATCATATTTCTGTACATTCAACGGTCAGCTAATACTGGTTTCGATATACTGGAAGTGTAGATAAAAGCAATAAAGAATAATACCTTTATCCGCGGCGGCGTGGGCGGGGGCAGCGCGGCCAGCCTGCAGGCCGTGCCCGTCGCCAGCGCCATGACGCAGCGCTCGCCGATAGCTATCTGCGTCTGCAGAGAGAATATCGCGTTCGCACCCTGGACACACAAAATATATAATTAAATAATAAAACAATGCATTTCAACATTATGTTTAAAAAAATCTAGATGAAGCCGGCATTTAATATCTACTATAATACTCTGAGAATAAATTCCGAAACAAACTCAGAGGTCAATCTATCTCTAGCTATAAAAGTATAGCCTAGACGGATTAAGTTTGGAGAGCCATGCTTCGGCACGACTGAGTGGGCTCAACCGGAGTGATACTGAGGCCTCAAGAAAACCGACGTTCCATAATTTTCCACTCACAAAAAAAAACCCTTCCGCAATCCCTTATTCCCAAAAGGACGGCAACGCACTCGTAACTTCTTTAGTGTTGCGGGAGCCCATGGGAGGCGCCGTTTGCTTGCGAGAATCGTGCAAGTTCGTTCTGCAGTGTTCTTTAATGAAAGAACCACAGCAGTCACCAAACATATATCCAATGCACATCATAACGTGACCAACTTAACAATGTATTATGGGCCGCCTTTGTGGGCAGACCGCGCTACCGCGAAACCGCTTAACTTTTAATTTATTGTAGGACATAACCCTCTTGATTTCAAGGCCTTAGTGTAGTCTGAGTGACTGACCTGCATCCTTAGTTTGGCGAGCAGCAACTTGTGTAGTTCGTACTCTAGGAAGGGAAGTTGGTCGGAGATGTCCCTGGCACCCGGCTCTGATGTAGGCGGCGCTCTTCTCACTCTAGCCGCTAATTATAAACAAATCAAATATTTAGTTGTTACTAGGAGAATACTTATATTATTTCTGCAATATGTCCCACAAGGTTTAGAATATCTAGAATAGACTAGACGATTACATAATACTAGCTTTTGCCCGTTCGCATGGAACAGTAACTTCCTGCAGTTTTTTGGTATAAAAACTATCATATGTCCTTGCTCGAGTTCCAAACTATGTCTGCACAAAATTTCACAGAAATCGGTTCAGTAGTTTAGGCGTGAAGAAAAGCCAGACAGATAGACAGACAGACAGTTACTTTCGCATTTATAATATTAGATCGTGCGATTTTCTAGCCTATTAACAAAATTTTAAATCATTATTTTATAACAACATTATAGCTAAAATGATATCTTTAAAAGACAATAGAGTGTTGGGGCATTGAAGTACAATAAGCCATTCCTCCGATTTCGCGCCATTTTATCAATATTATTGTCATGTATTTTTTTATTGAGGGGGATAATTATTTTATCTCTTTCTGCTATATAAGTTGTGGTGGCCCGGAGGTTAAGGCGCTCGCTCAGCAGTGGGCACTTATAGGCTGATGATGGTTCTTCCGTTTTTGGGGCCGTCCTGCAATGCGAGGAACGTGAGGAACGCTATGCGTCTTGGCGCTCGGTTGTGGTCGGGCGTCGAGCTACCCCGCCACAATTATAAAAAATATAGAAAATAGGAGGAATATATTTTTCATTAAATTAATCGAAAATCTTCGTGGATCATTTGAAGTTTACAAATATGTGATTGGTCATATTTCTTTCCTTTTTTAAGCGTTTTCGAAAAAAAGAGTGCTTACAATTCGTATGGGATTCAGTGGACGATTGCACCAAACTGATTGAAGGTAACTTACCGACAGCTGTGAGTGTGATGGCTTTAGCGTGCGACGCTAACTTGTTGGGCTTTGAACACGTCGCCAGTAATACTGTAGGCACGCGGGCTCGACTGCCAAATAAAAGAAAAACGTACTTAAGGGCCGGTAGGCCAAGCGAAATAGGTATTTAACGCTACCAAGAGTTGCCCGCGTTTGCCGTAAAGCGACCCGTGCGCTAACGTCGCGGGGAGTGTCACATCACAGATAAGCAGGCAGTAGGTCAACTTGTCTGACGCCCACTTGCACAAACCCGAGTTATTCTTTCAACTCAAAAATAAAAGATTTAATTAATTAAAAACTCGTTTTATAACCGACTTTAAAAAAAAGGAGGAGGTATACTATGTTCGGCTGATTGTTTTTTTTTTGTATGTTCACCGATTACTCCGCCATTTACGAACCGATTTCCAAAATTCTTGTTTTGTTTGAAAGGTTATACTTCCGAGAGGGTCCCATTTTCATGAGGTCAGGATCTGATGATGGAATCCTAGGCAAACCGAGGGGAACTTTCGAAAATTGTAGGGACGACTAGTGCTTTTGCATGTTTTTTTAGTAGGCTTTTTACAAAGCTACAATTTGCCGATGGTCGAAATCGACCTGATGATGGAGCCGGAAGACAGTCGAGGGATCTGCTTTATTATTTGCAGTAGTTACCTTGTGTTTGGGCTTGAATGATTCGTATTGGTGAGCACTTTGCACCAAGATTGATCGCGACTGTCATTAGGGGTCTAATGATGACAACGAAGGGCAGCTCAGGGAACGGTTCACAGTAACTACCTCGTGTTTGGACTTATTCATTTATAACGATGCAAACTTCGCCCCTATAGATGGAAACCATTGACAGTCGAGGGAATCCCTCAACGATTTACAGCTAAACTAACTAAACACTGACTAACTCAGGACTACTTCGTGATTTTCGGTCACAAGTAGCAGTCGTCTTCTCATTCGAAAACCATTATAAAAAAATAATTTAAAGCAAAAAATAAATTTTCTTTGTGGAAATTAATACGTTTTCATTTAGTATAATAGAAAATAATATTAATAACCGTTTTACGAACGCGGCGATGTCGTGTAGGCTGCGCGACGTCGCCGCGTCCGCGCACGCTGCTCATGAGGAAGAACCCCTCTGTGATTCGAAACTAGTAGAGCTTTTCTCAATATTTACACGTGAGTAACCCGCGATTTTTAGTTAATTTAGTATTTCTCACGATTGTTATTATAAAAATAACCATTTTATAATCTTGAAGTCGGTGCCAAGTAAATCATCAAAGTCATACCAAAACAACAACAGTTTTAGAAAAATATATTGATCGGTAACTCCTATTCATCAAACTAACAATGGTATAGGTATTCTTGATGTGTGTTATAGGTAATCTTTACACTATTTTTCTTTTACTTGGCACCGACTTAAAGATTATAAAATGGTTATTAATATTATTTTCTATTGTACTAAATGAAAACATGTATTAATTTCCACAAAGAAAATTTATTTTTTGCTTTTTAGTTTACTTTTTGAAGTCGGAATATTTTTGTTAACAATTATTTATTATCAATTGTTTTTGTACAAGAAATACGAAAAACAAAAAATCTACTCGGTATTTAAATGGAATGTATTTAAATCATTCAAAAATCTTATAGTTTTTTATACAACAACCATAATAATAAATGTGTCTAAATTATTATTCATGTACTACATTAAACATCTTAAAATTCTTCAAAAGGTATTTGTCTTGAACAATTGTGTCTTCCAGAAATTATCGTCCCTTTCGATACGTTCTGTAAGCATGGGTTCATTTTCTCCACCCTAGATGCCGAGCAGACAAAATCGTCTTTCAGTAACGTGAAGCTCCTTGTCCTTGTATTTGATAAAACAATTTGATTTTTTATTTACTGTGGACGTGCAAGTATTTTTGTCGTATTTTAAAATTTTAGCTTGTTATGCTGTACTGCACTGGTAGAACCTTTTTTACAGCAGTTAAAGGACACTTAATTTCAATGAGCGTATCATCGCCTACTAATCCGTCAGGAGTGCCTCTAATAAATGGATAAGTCCTGTCTATGAACAAACTGCAAGGCAAAATACTTATATTTTCCTGTTTTCAAGCTGTTGACGTGCTTGCATTTCGTGCTCTATTCCGTGTGCAACAGCAGTTACACATGTCAAATATAATTATAATTTTGTATACCTAATATGTTTTTTACCAAAAGAGCAGTATGCTATATGCTAATTTTTCTTTTACAAATTTGCCCAAAATTTGATTCGGTGATTAGGTTTTTCCGTATTTCCAACCATTCACTGCTATCTCGTTACAAAACTGTAGCCCTTTCGATAGCCTGGCTATCAGAAGTAAGCATTCTTAAATTATTTAAGAACTCTACTTCAGCTTTTTTTCAGTTCGTTTGGAGACATATTTGGTGCTGTGCTCGATAATGTCATGTTGCTTTTGATTGCCATCTTTTAATTTCCGTACTTTTTTTTACGGGATGCCCGAAGATTAGGTTTCGTTCTGAGCTCTCCGTCTTTCAATGATTTTGGCCCTGCCTTCAGGACTTTTGTTTAAAAAAGCTGTTTGGACGGCTGAAAGCCCCGATTGGCTGTTAAACGAAAGAACAGGTGCTGAACACCTTCCTTGATAACCTCCTGTTAATGAAATTATTCGTTTTCCACAAATGAATTTAACGATGACACTATTAAAACAGTCAACAAGTTTGTGTCAACGTCTTCGATTAGGCTGCGTGATTTTGCAGCAAAACTTGAAACAATCGCGTTTATTCAGACAATGAAAGTGTAATTTTGGGTCTCTTTAAGTTCTTCGTTGTCATTTCTATCTTTATTGCAATAATATTCTTGGCACATTCTATGGTCGCTAAAAGCATGAGCTACACAGATGATAATATCCGTATGAAGATTAGATATTGCTACATTGCGAGGACCTTCAGAGGTTTTGTGAAGTCTAATTCATTGTACTATCGATTTCCGCATAGTCAAAATTTTGACATTATTAAGCATTTTATGATGTACTTAAACATACTTTGTGTCTGTAATCAGATTACGTAGTTTTTGACAGAAGTTTGTAGTTCTGATATTTTTGTACAGTGGCTTACCATTAGACAGGCAGGATACCGAACGAAAAGACAAAATATGAATTAAATTTAATTATGCAAAATTCTAGCGATCATCGGTACTAAAATATTTATAAACTATACTAGAATAATCATAAATTTTGCATTTACCAATCAGAGGCTAAATAAAATAAAATTTAATTTTGCGAACAAATTACATTTCAATACAAATAAAATGTTTACGTAAATTAGTACTCCTTTACATATCTTTAGAGTGCATTCTTTCTGTGTCTTTTATCACTTAGCGCGACTTTTTTCGCCTGCGTTTTTTATTACCCATTATGATTTATAACTGCAAAGCAATAAATTCTCAAAAAGAGATGATTTGGTGCGTTTAGTTGTCGCTGAAGAAACTGACACAGGTCCGTCGTCGACAAGCGCCAGCACGCGACTAATCGGACATACCTGAGCCGCCGCGACCGCTTTTAAAACTTAATGAAACATAGTAATTAAGAAAATCATTTTATCAATTTTAACTCTGCGAATTTGTCTGTAACTAATAAGTTTCTTTATTATAGTACAAAAATTAAACGTAAATAATCAGTAATATAGTCGTAATATTGAAAAAACGTTTTAAAAGGGGGTAACTTTGCGATTTTTTTCTATCGAGTGAAGTTTATCAGGTCTTGCAACTGAATGCGATTTTGACTAGATAAGATCCTCAACTAAAACATATATTTTTTTTGTAATTTAAAAAACTGTAGTTTTTGTCTCAGATTGTTTTAAAAAACGTAAATTTGGGCCCACCTCGCCTTAAGTGATTTTAACGATTAGTATTTTAATTGTTTTAAAAATTGGTAATGTTCACGTGATATGCTCTAAAAGGTATTCAAGCACTTTTATACTGAAAGAGTTGATATCCATTTCGCTCATAGCACGGATTAAAGAAAGAACAAACTATTTAACCCATTCAGTGCCGAGCCCGCCCATCGGCGGGCAATTTTCTTTAACTTACACGCCGAGACCGCCCATGGGCGGGTTATTTTAAACTGCAATAACTTTACGAAATAACATTAGAAAGTTATGAGATGATGTGTAATGATTTGTTTCATTAAAATGTATTGGCAACTCAAATGGCCTGCTAATATTTAAAGTTTAGAAAAAAGCTAATTCTAATTTGTCATGCCGAGCCCGCCTTTGGGCGGGCAAGGTTTGATACCAGAAGTCGCAAATCTTTTGTAAGTTTTAGTACGACTAATAACTATTACATATTAAGTCAACATTCGTGGATCAAGTACCTAGCACGACACCGGTTCTGATTATAGTTGTGGAAAAATACTGAGAAACAAAATTCGTAAACAAATTTCTAGAACGTTTTATGCTTAAAAAAACCATATGCCTTCGACAAAGAGTTTATTTTGGCCTGAAATGTCCTAGAAGTCGTATTTCAAAAGTGCCGGCCGGGCTAATAAACAAAGGGCGGCTTTTTTATGTGTACGCGCTATCTTAACCCAAATGAACCTTATATTCGAGGGCATAAAGTACTTTTTAGGTTTTTTGTGTCCTGATAACATTAGTAGTAAACAACCATAAAAAATAACAATAGGATGCGCCGGCTTATCTCTTACAAGTAGTGGCACGAAAGTTTAGCGTTGACCGTTAATGCGCAGAAGTCGAAAATTAGGTATCACAGGGGAGGCAGAGGTCGCGGGACGGGGATGCGGAGCGCTGATTGGCTTTCCAGTCGAGAAGTACTTCCCGAACCAATACCACGTCTCCTGTGCGCCCGGTGTACAGTCGTGATCTAAATTGAATTGTAATTTTTGTTAATTGTTTGCGGATTTTTATTGTTGTGTTTTTAGTTTGTTTGTTGTTGTTGTTAATTGTTATCGATTTTCGTTGATTTTGTTTGAAAAGCTTTGCACAAGTTTTTCTCAAGACAGCTCTGCCGCACCATATGGTGTTTTGATGGAAGGCATACAAATGTTATCGGAATCAGAAGACTAAATAAAACAAAATTAGATACGTTTTTATAATACTTAATAAATAAATAATAATAAGAAATTTTCTTTTTTATTTTAAGATTATGACCTGCCTAATCTTATTTGTGGGGCAAATTGATTAGTACATAAAGTTTTATAACAAATACAATACTCACAGGACAAAATCTTTATTCACACTCACACAACAATACAAGAGATAGGTACTTAATTTTTGCTGGTAATATTAATGATTATTTTTTAGAGATATGTATTGCGTGCGTGACAGTACCCATGCGCAGCTATCCCTTCCACTCAACGGTCAACGCTAAACTCTCGTGGCACTAGCTGTACTTTACGTTAATTTTAAAAATCACTTCTGCTTTGCTGTTCTCAGTAATCAGGTGTATGTTGCGTTTCTACTTTTTGCTCTCCCGATGATATTTGCTTGCGTACTTGGACTCTGATCTGATTTTGAATTTGTGGTGACTGTGGCCTGTTTACCTGGATTTTGTGATCTGCTGTATGTGACATTACGGAACTGTGTATTTGGACTCCTGTGATAAAATTTTTGACGACTACGGCCTGTAAAACTGGACTCCGAGATATCTTTAGTTGCTGTGGCTTAAAATAGGTAAGTTTTTGGTCTTAATCCTTACCTAATCTTTACAATGTATGATTTGTTTAATGACGTTTCTTGTTGAAATTTTAAATCACAATCACCGTAATTCAAAAATGAAGACGATAAATAAATATGTATTTTAAAGGTTTTAATTTGGTGATATATATGGATAACTGTTTCGCGGACTAATTTTTGTTTTTAATTTTTTTCCGAAACGAACTGTCATTTACCCCCATCTCACGCACCACTTTCAGGAAAACAATGGATCCTCAGCCATCTACTTCGCAGTCAGCTGCTATTCGCGATGAAATACATGATACCTTGGCTACCTGGGAGTCAGCCTACTTCGCTAACGAGGAAGTTGTACATATAAACCAGGGCTTGTTATACGACGACGACGAACTCTACGGAATATTGGCGGATAATGTCGAGGATACGCTGGAGAATTGCAGTCAAGGCATCGAAACACAAGAAGCACATGATTTATCATTTTGTGAAGACTTTTCTAGCGATAATGAAACTGAGGACGTAACAACAACCCGCGAATGGCATTATGGAAATGCGCCAAACACGAACAATTTAGACTTTACAGCGACTGCTGGATTAAAAGTTGACATGCGGGAGAAAGAGCCTATAGATTTCTTTTTTTTAATTTTATGTCCTTCAATTTTAAATTTGATTTTGACATGTACCAACAGATATGGAGAGGATTTAAAAAATGCTGCTTCTGCTATACACAGTAGAATGAAAGAATGGCAGGCAATAGATATGGGAACTTTAAAAACTTTTATTGGGTTGGTCATTCATATGGGGACAATTCAATACAGTAGAATGTCAGACTACTGGAAAACCCATTATTTATTTAAAAATGATATTTTTAGAAAATACATGCCTAGAAACAAGTTCTTAAACATAATGAGAGCATTAAACGTTCAAAACGTGGCAGGAAATGCAAGTTTAAATAAAATTATATCGTTGATTGACGAAATAAATAAAAACATGAGAAATATTTATCATCCGACGAGAGAAGTAACAATTGATGAGTCACTGATGTTATGGCGAGGAAGACTTAGTTACCGCCAATATATGAAGTCAAAAGCGAGTGGATATGGACTGAAGTTTTATAATTTAGCCGATAATACGGGCACAATTTATAAAACCCATTTATATGCTGGGTCAAAAGATCCTTTAGTTTCTGGGCCCGGACATACTAATAAAGTTGTCCATTTACTAATCGATGACCTTAAAAATATGGGCCACTCACTCTACGTAGATAATTTTTACTGCAGCATTCCTCTCACAAGAGAATTATTAAACAGCCGCACATTTTGCACAGGGACACTAAAAATGAATAGAAAAGGAAATCCTAAAGAATTATTAAAAACAAAAATTAAAAAAGGTGAATGCATAATACTGCATGATAAAAATAATATAACTTTAGCAAAATGGATGGACAAACGAGAGGTGCTGTTTCTTTCAAGCGAGCATAATAGTGTCTTAGAAGAAGTAAGAAATCGTAACAGAAACAGCACCTCTTTAAAACCACGAGCTATTATTAAATATAATAAATATATGAGAAATGTGGATAAACATGACCAAATGCTGTCATATTACACAGGTGAACATAAATCAGTACGGTGGTATAAAAAGGTAATAATTCACTTGATTGAAGTGTGTTTAGTTAATTCTTACCAATTGTTTAAATCAGAAAAAAAACTGAATATTAGTTTATACGACTTTCGAGCAAACATTTTAGAAAGATTGTTGCCACCTATACATCCCCGTGAGGAAATACCTTTGGCGATTTGTCCAATGCATTTCCCAAAACAAATAACTAAAGAACCAAATAGTCGGCGGGCAAAAAGGAAACAGTGCCGACAATGTGCTAAGCAAAAAAAACGTGTAGACACGATATTTTACTGCCCTAATTGTCCTGATCAACCAGGACTCTGTTTAAATTGTTTCAAGCCGTACCACCGGTACTGATCTATGTTCAAAGACAGCCCTTTATGTATATGTATTGTAAACAATTAATAATCTCATTAAAACATAACTATAAATAATAAGTGATCTGATTAACTCAGATTTAAAGACAGCCAGTACATTGTGAAAAATGATCTCTTTAAAATATAATTATAAATAACTAGCTGACCCCGTGAACTTCGTTTCGCCTTTTGTGCCATCATAATTTCGACATACGTAATAAAAAAGTATCCTATATCCGTCTCCTGGTTCTAAGCTTCCTTCCCACCAATTTTCAGCCAAAACGGAACAGCCGTTCACGCGTGATGTCACGACCAAAGGAAATAGGGATTGTTTTTATATATAGAGATAAGTGACCTGATTAACCTTTCTTTATTTTTTTACTCAAACATAGTCCTTTATGTATATTGTGAACAAGTGATTTTATTAAAACATAATTATAAATAATAAGTGATCTTATTAACCCTAGTTCAAAGACAGCCCTCAATACTCAATACTTTATTGCTTCCATACACATGATACAGTTGGTAGGTTTTATAATAATACATAGGCCTACAGTATGGACCCTGTCGGGCGCAGCACATTACGAAAGAGGAGGAACAGTTGAACCCTTTACGTGTGTTGTGAAAAAGTGATCTTATCAAAACATGGAAAATGTCTCTTTATGTACGATTTAATTTTATAATTTAAATTTTAAATGGTGTATAAGTATTAACATGTTAATTTGCAAATAAAGGCTAGTAAATTGTTTAAATTTGTTTTATTTCACTATAAAATTTATTCATATTAAATAAAAGAGAGCGCAATCAGTTAGATGACATGACTAATTTCAGTTTTCTTTATAATTGTTTACAAGAATTTCGACGTCATTTAGAAATTCCATCAAACGATTGTCTGGCACATTCTCCACTAGGCGTCTAATAGAAAAAGCTACCAAATTTTTTTTACAATTGCATGGAGGCAATCCAATATCTTCTTCAGTCTGGGTACTTGCATCTTTTGTTTGTCTGCTGCTAATATTATTATTCTGCATTTTCGCCTTTATTAGTCGTTTGATTTCTTCCATATTATCGTCGGTAAAAAATTCAGTTTTACTGTCTAAAAAAAAATATATTTTATTATTATAATAGGTACCCAAAATGAAAGCCTTATAAGATAAAAAAAAAATATTTTAACTATAATTTTTTTACTTATTTAATGCAGTAGGTATACAAAAAAGTTGACGACACCTGACTTTTTTATTAAAGCCCATAAATATACAGTTTTAAATACATTTTTGATTTCTTTTTATAACATTTAGCTAAATTACACAGGTTAACATGGTTTCGTTTTATTTTAAACAATTAAATGAAAGTTATGACTTACTTCCAGGCTCCATTACTATTTCAGCTACGAACTAATAAAACTGTCACACATGTGCCACAAATATCGCAGAAAACTGCACATAAACGCTTTACGCACGGTACAGTTCACGTAAACTGAACTTATCAAACGATTCATGTCGGAATCTACAGCTTCATGCCGAAAACGCCGATGGGCGGGCAAGAATACTTAATCGAGATGCCGGGCCCGCCGATGGGCGGGCTGCATACTAAAGTATGGCGGCATCTGGGTAATATCTTTACTTTTCACTAAGGCAGTGAATGGGTTAATACAGATCGAAAAGATATATGTTTTAAATTTCTAATGTACTACATAAAACGGCTCTATTCAAGCTTCTTTAGCTTGGCATCAAAAATATATAACAAAATACCAATTAACATTCTAGATTTTCAGTATTTAAAAATAAATAACGAACATTTTTAATTGATAAAGCATAATGCATAATCCTAGATTTCCTGAATTATTTATCAATTATTCCACTACCAGTACCTATGTATGTACTTAATTATTGGGGAGGACATATCAATACTAATATATAGTTAAGTAACTAACATATAAATAAAGAATAAAGATACTTTGATTAGGTAAATGTTGTTTTCGGAAAATGCAAGCCAAAATTTTGAATATAGTGATAAAATGACTAACCGGCATCCCCCGCAGACGGCGAGCTCGGCGCGGTACGGGCCGGCGCCGGGCGAGTACGGGACATGCGCCATACTGCATGTCTCACATTCTGACTCCTCGGGGTGCTTCGAGCCGGACGAAGCTGGACAAAACATAAGCTGGTTATTTTTTACCAGCTTTTATTCAAAATATAATGTATGTGTGTTTATTTGTCAAGTTGAGTTTGGCAAAATTTTGCATACACGTCACAGACCTGCATGTTAATATGTATGAAAGAAAGAAGAAGAAAATCCATAAAAAAATAAGGTCATTTGTGGTCGACAAATCACCTTATTAATATAATTAATTATAATTCTGATAAAAGTTATTTTTTTGGTTGTATATTGTATTGGGAGGTAGTGGCCCTCTATTGTTTAGGAAGGTAGTTATCAAGCGTTTTTGCCATACTCATTACTGGAAACAACTATTAATTACACAGCCCCTGGGCTTATCAACCTAGTGCAGTTTTTGTGCGTTGCTTCAATTATTTTGACTCACGCATTAAATACACTGAGACAAATGAACAACCCAACAGTACACTATTCTCGTATGATATACATCTCATGAGACGTGACATGACTATATTTTTTTTGGTTATCTTTAAAAAGTTTGTAATTATTTAGAATTATAACTAGACTTAGCAGTGAAATGTGTGTGCCATTTTGGTGTAATGTACCTGAGTTCGGTTCCGGCTCGGCGTTGAAGTCACAGTCCAGATTGATCACTACCGCAGTACCGGACGCTGAGAGCACGCACACATCCTCGCTACAATAAACAAATAAATTATTATTATTACATATTTGTAAGAAGCGTGCAGTGACGGCGGAGCGTGTGAGGGAGCTGTCCTCCTCACGTACCAGCCGTCGTGAAAGGCGACACTCCGGGCGTTGGGGATCCAGCGACGATCTCCGGCGACCTAGAGCGCGGGTCATCGGACGGCGAGTAAGGGTAGCTCGCCGCCCGACCAGAACCAGGCCCGGGCGTACGGCGCGAAGCGTTCCGCGCGCGCCTCAAATAGCCAATAGACCACCACAGACGGGGCCCGACAGGCGGTAACCATGACATTCAAAATAAGACTGTTTTAATCTTACTTCAGTGTAGGTAAGAGAAAGAGCTATACAAGTTGTCTAGCTCTGTCTCTTACCCACACAGAAGTAAAATTAAAATAATCTTATTTTGAACGTTGTGGTTTGCCCCCTGGGCTGATGTTTAGCCGGGCTTGCGGGTTAAGCGCAATGAGTCACCGTGCCCCAGAGCAGGAGAAGGAACGGGGGGCTTTTAGTCAGTAAGAGTCTGACACTCTCTCTCGCCTTACCCTGGGCGGGAGAAGTCGTTAATGATTTTCTCCTGACAAAGAACAGAAAAGACATATGATGATGTCCCCCCTCAGAAAATCCTCTTCCCGTGGATATCATTAAAAGCCGATCAAAGGCCGAGATCAGCCAAGGCCGAGGAGAAGCCAAACCATTCTATATAGGTAAATTCACATTTTTCAACAGAGATACGTTATTAATTAAAAAAAAATGTTAATACAAATGAAACACTCACCAGATGGCAGTATTCTCAGTGTATGCGATGACTGCATTACAGCGTAAGGCTCGCGCATGCGCCCTGAGCTCCGTCCTAAGCTCCGCCCACCAGGCGGCGCGCGCCGCCCCCTCCCCGCCATCCGCGAGTTTCACGGACCGAGCGCAAACTGTACCACCTGAAGTTAACAAACTCGGTTTAGAAAATACCAGCTACTTTCACCCGCTGTTCGGATCGTAGCGTGATATTTTATAGCATACCAGCTTCCACCGAATTAAAGATTAGGTGAAATAATTTAGGTTTTTGTTACAAGTTTCCGTAGATAAAGCATCTTTTTTTTAGCTGAATGTTATTAGTATTTGATTCTTTATATCAGTCTAGAACCTACCTTACCAGGTAACAAAAGGCGTAAGGCTAGGTATGCATAGAATATAGCTTATAGTAGTAGTAGTAGGTACTAGCGACCCGTCTCAGTTTCGCATGGATGCAATGCCGAAACTAAATTTCTCTACTATTTAAATCAAAGTCAAAAATAATTTATTCCAATTAGACCCCTACAGCCACTTTTGAAAGTCAAACAAAATTTTGAAGATATAGTGTCAGTCTGTCGGTCAGTCCTCATAGTGAAGCTAAGAGCGAGTGCTCGTTCCAAAGTGTTGTATTTAATGGATGATACCTATACATATTAAACCTACCTCTTTAATCACTCTATTTATTAAAAAAGCCGCATCAATATCCGTTGCGTAGTTTTAAAGATTTAAGCATACATAGGGACAAAGGGACAGAGAAAGCGACTTTGTTTTATACTATGTAGTGACAATACATAAATCACTCACCAATGTGTACAATAAACCCGGGTGGGTACTCCGTCATCGTAAGGAACGGATATTCAAGCAAATCCAAGTTGTTGCTGTTCATAGACGGCCGCAAGATGGCGCCACCGCCGCTACCTACATTACCCGCCGATGTGTTTAGTGATCCACCTAGAATTTAATGTAATTTCGGGCTACATACAAGTAATAACAATTATTTTAAACAAAGCTACATAAAATACGAATATTTCGTATGGTGGTGAATTTGGAAAAAAGATAACAATTTTTCTTTTTTTTTATGTGACAGGTCGGCAAAGGTCTACGCTAGTTGGTGAATTTGGAAAAAAAATAACAATTTTTCTTTTTTTTATATGACAGGTCGGCAAAGGTAAGCAACCTGTTCCATCTATGAACTCCCGCAATACTGTAGGAGTTATGATAGCGTTGCCGGCCTTTTGGGGATTAGGGTTTCGGAGATAGGAGGAGGGGAAGAAGGGATTGGGGATCGATTAACCATATTCTGTTTTTAATAAAGAATTTGAAAATCGCTAATCTCACTATATATCGATCACAAACTTAGTATGCCCAGGGAATAGTCTCCTTCTGAAGGTGATTCCTTACATGTTTTTATTTTTGGAAATGTTTTAGTTGGTATTGGTGGATGCTTGTGTAGAGGTCTTATTACGGCTGGCGTAACAATGTGATTACATGAACATATTTGGATATATACAGCGGGTTATTTTGAACGTAGGACATATTCAAGGGCCCGATTCTGGTGCTAAAATAAAAACTTCTACATAAGACCAATTTGGAAATGCAAAAAAAAATTACTTCTCCATGCAAAACGATCAATCAGGTGTTGTGATTTGTATGGGGAAATAAATTTATTTTTGATCGGCTCCTTGAATGTCCGTCGTTCAAAATAACAATTTGTATAGATTAGTTACTAATTATACCTGCATCCGAAAAATATTTTGTTTTACATATTAACATTATTGCCTACCTTTTGGTGTTACACTGAGATCAGAATCGGACGACCTCCTATGAATCCCAAGTGGCGTTGATGTCGCGTTCAAGGACGAGTTCTGCGCATGCGTCGCCTGTGCCGGTTCCCTCCCACCGTACGACTCATGGCGAGCGTGGCGCGGTGATCCTCTGTCCTTGTCGCTCTTATCCTCGCGCCTATCCCTGTCTCGTTCACTCCTGTTGATATCGCACACAGCATGCGAGTTATCACACACACTATTGTTAGTCTCGTCTACTCCGTCTATTCCGTCTACTTGGTCTACTTCGTCTACGCTGGTTTCTGGTAACGAAGGAATGGTTTCTAGTGCACCAAGTTGTGGGTGAGACACTATGACAGGCTTGGTTATGTCGCTAGGTGACATGTTAGCTTGTTTGGACATTTTAGGCGGTTCGGTCTCTGTTATTGAGTCTACGCTATCTTGGCGAGTGAGTTTTTTGTTCTTTTTTGCTTCAGGCACGGATTTACTTTTTTCTATTACTCTTATTGTTTGTTTTTGTGCTGCATCAGCTTCAGATTCGATATCTTTTGGTTTAATGGCAGCATCAGCTTCTGATTTATTTCCGTTATTTTTGTCTTCAGTTAGAACTGGCTCAGCTGGTATCAAAGACTGAACTTTATCCAACAGAACTGTTTCGAAAGCAGTGTGAATTAAACCTGAAGGCTTTAAATTTTCACGTGAATGTGATTTATCAAATATTTCTTTTAACTTTTCAACGGCCTCTTCTTTTTCTTCAGTTAAAGTGTGCGCTTTGTCTAACAATATGTTTTTAACAACATTCTTGACTAGGGAAGGTGATTTTAAATCGTCATTTAAATGACTAGCTTCTTCCAGCTCGTCATCAGAAAACGTTTTCGGTTCGACAAAGGTCATGCCAGGTTGACCGACCAAAGAATGGACCTTATCCATCAATATTGTTTCCATTGCAGTATGGGTTAGTCCACCAACTTCTTCTTTTTTACTTGTATCAACAGAACTGCGATCTTGATTTTCCTCAGTTGCAATTACCGGTTCTGGAACTGGCGCTCCAAGTGCAGAAGCCTGAACTCTATCTAGAAGCATAGTTTCAACTGCTGAATGTACGAGACCAGTAGGCCTTAAGTCATCTTTGCTAGATTTTTTAAACTTATCCGAATCTGTATCATCTGTATGTAGTGGAACAGCAAAAACTACACCAGGCTGTCCAACCAATGTTTGAACTTTATCCATTAGAATAGTACCTACAGCTGTGTGCGTTAAACCAGATGAACTTTCATTCCTATCAAATTTGTGATGTTTATCATCAGAACGCATTACAGGATCTGGTACATTTCCGCCAAGAGCTGATGTCTGGACTCTTTCCAAAAGCATAGTTTCCATTGCAGTTTGAACTAAGCCATGTGGTTTCTCTTCTTTCTTTTTAAAATCGTCGTGCTTTTTTACTCCATCATTATCATCAAATACAGCAGAAACTGGTTCAGGAGTTTCAGGGCCAAGAACCGATTGGACTTTTTCCATTAACATTGTTTCCATTGCAGTGTGAACCAGACCGGTAGACATGGATTCTTTCTTTTTAGGCTTACTCTCAAAGAATTTTTCAGTTGGTGATGTATGGTCCGGAGACTTTGGACTAAGCAAAGATTGGATATAAGCCATAGGTTTTTTAACTTTCATCTTGGATCCTTCTCCAGTTTCGGGTCGGTCGTTTCCTTCAAAAACTATTTCTGTGTGAGGACTATCTGGAGTAGAAGGCATAAGGACAGACTGAACTCTATCCATAAGCATAGTCTCCATTGCAGTTTGTACTAAGCTTGGTGGTTTATTTTTATGCTCGTGTCCTTTATCAACCTTCCTAATACCACTGACCACAACTGGTTTAGTATTCACAGGTGGAGACTGACTCTTTGGTCTACTAGGTGGTGCTACATTAATACTACTGCCGACTGAAGAATTGTTGTTATTCCTGTACTCTTCAACTTTACCCAACTTCTCGTTAACATCATCGAAAAACTGTTTGTTCTTTACAGATTCTGAATCCGGAGAAGTTGGTATCAATAAAGACTGCACTTTATCTAGCAGGATAGTTTCCATGGCAGTATGGACCAAACCTGTGGACTTCAGCGAGTGTTTCTTCTCAGTATGATGATGAGGTTCCTCTCTTTGGTAAGGAGATGAAATACCACTAAGCGAGGACCTTGATACAGGTTCCGATCCAATGTACATAGATACTTTTACATGATCGAATTCATCGCTTTTGTGGAAGAATTTGTGCGTATCAATACTGTCTTTGTCAAGACTCATTAGATCGCTATAAGACAAGAACGGAGAACCTAAAACAGTCTCACTTGGAGCCTTCGAACGAACATCGGACGACGACCCAGGTTGACTCAAAGGAGTTTTATTCTCCTTCTTTTTTGGATGCAAAGAATAGTGAGAAATACTTTTAATCATATTGCTTTTTGACAATTTAGACAACTGACGTCTTATGCGTCGGGAGGAGCGATGGACGAAGCTACCTTTGTCTACTGGAGATGAAGGCTCGCTAATGCTTTTAGCAGGCTTTTTGTGAGAAAAGGGATTGTGGAATTTAATATGATGGCTACTGGGTTTTGCTACACACGTGTCGTCTTTCACCGATGACGTCGAAGCTTCGTTTGATCTCACTGGTTTCGCGACCACTTTCTTACTTTCGACTTCTCGAGGCACTGATTCCAGTGATTTACATTTATCAATTAGCACTTGATTATCGAATACTTGTTGTTCGACTTCTGTTTTCTTATCTATTTCCTTTCTTACTTCTACTGGACTAGTTTCTTTTAGGTCCGGGCTTCCCTCAAGATTGTTTAGCTTTTTATCCATGCTAGCAATCAATTTCGGATCTATGTCATGACTTAGAACTGATTGCACTATAGAGCTAGTAGTTTCAATGGACCTTTCAGTATCAGTTTTCAAATCAGAACTCTCATCGTCATCGTCTTCTTCATCGCTACTAGACTCTAGCTCGGAGCTTTCAGCTGAGAGTGCAGAGGAAACTGACCCGTAGTAACCAGGGTGTCCAGGCAATGTTAGAAGATTTTCGTTCCTATCTGGCATTGGTGTAGCTGGACAAGATTCTGATATCTTTCTCTCCCTCGGTGCCACCGCTGCATCAGAATTAATATTACTTAAAGAAGTGAATCTTATTTCAGGCATCTTTTTCGGTTCCTCAGTCGGTGCCTCTTTATCTTTTAACTTGGCTTTCTCATCATCAGATATGTTGAGAGCAGGTTCAGATTCACTTGTTCGTCTTAAGGTTGAGCTTGGTGAAGCTTCTGAATCCTGAGTCTCAGCAATGCAGGCAAGACTTGTTTGTACGTGAATGATCGATCGAGCGAGGATTGAAGCCATGCCTTCGCCCTCATCCTCCTTATTAACGAATGGTTTACGGAATTTTGGTTTCTTCAAACTTAATTTCCTTAATTCATGTTTTATATCGCCAAGAGAGATTCGTGAGGTATCAGATGCGTTAGACCTTAGAGATATTGTGTCTTCCTGTTTGTCTGACGAGGCGTGCCTCTTAGCGGCTCGACGACTAAATCGTTTAGTGAAGAAGTTAGTTTTGATCTTTTTCAGTTTCTCTATAGGTCCTGAAGAGTCAGAATCGTCACTTTCTCTGTTAAGAAGTTTGTTTAAATCTGTTTGGTCTTCTGATAGGTGCCTGAGGCTGCTTCTGTGCGGAAAATCGTCTCTATATATGGAGACGCTTCCAGCGTAGCTATTGATGCTGGAGTGTCTCGTCATATCCACACTTTCGTCTTCTTCAAGAGCATCCGTTTCATCTAGCAAAGCCGATGCATTAGGGTTCAAGATCGAGAGTAGTTTCTGAAGCTCATCCTGATGAGTCTGGTAGTAAGCAGACATCTCAGTAATACTCTCATTATCAGTCGCCAAAATGTCCAAATACTTTTTTAATTGTCTGTTTTAAGTTAGGACACAACAAACCATGCAAAAATATATCTATAAGTAAATTGTTTAACAAAAAAAACTCGGTTTTAAACTAAGTTACTGTTTTGTCAACATCTATTACGAACATTTAAAGCTTTTTAGATTAAAGATAGACTAGTCTAGATTACAGTAACCTTGACAACTATACTTAAGAAATCAATAGACTTATAAATCAAGAAAATAAATTTTAAATTGAAGGGTGTTGTTTGATCTTTGTATTTGTAATTTTATTGCTTAGTGGATAGAGTTGAATTTGGCGTGTACTCACTGTTGCGTGCAAGGTGGCATGTTTAACGTTTGGCTTGGCATGGGTAGAGGAGTTATGCTGACGGCGGTACCTGCAATCGATAGGAGATTAAAATTTAAATAATCTCTGCCCCTTTATATGTCAGTAAGTATAACAACTTTCACATTCGTCAATATAATAAAGATCTATACAGTACTGCATATAACGTACTTATATAGAACTTTACACTGCGATTTCAATTCAAATCTCTTGTACTGACAAAGTTCTCAAAGGCCTAACTTCGGAGATTGAACCTAGTTTTGAAATTATATCCAAAACATTAAAGATAAGAATATAATAATACTAGGTAATAGTAATGAGGTTAAAACCGTACTAGAATTTTGTCACTCGCATTTCCTTCTACAATACAATTTTAAGCCTAACCTGACTGCTTTGAAAAAAGACCATATGGCCTAGCAAAGAAAGTTGAATATTGTAGCACATACCAATAGCTCTGGCCACAACCCCTGCTTCCCCTTCCAAATCAAAGTCCTGTTGGTAACCAACCACAGCGTTCGCTCCTAGCTCAGCTGCCTTCAGACCTACTAAACGCTGGACCTGACGACAAACATATATTATGAAATATTAAATGGTTTAGTTCATACAGCAGAAACGGTAGGGAACGGTTAATTTAATTTGCTCCAAGTCTAGATTTTTTTGACAGACTGTCTGACTTATAACGAAATGCAGTTTGCTGTGGTTGTATGACAACATAGTCGTTCCGCGTACAGCTCCTCATTATGAGCCCTGTTCGTGGCGTTCGAAACCAATCGAGCAGATAAGTTATCAATATCTTATAAAGAATTGTTCATCGCAGGAATCGAACTCAGGACACGATGTACGCCAGCCGATTGCCCAGCTACTTTATCAAGATTTTTTTTCTACGCATAAACCGTTTCGTAACTTCCAGGAATAATTCAAGACTAAAAATAGCCAAATCGGTAAAGGCATTGTTGAGTTATAACATTACAATGAATAGTGGCATTGAATTATATATATACATATATAAGATATAATTATACAGACCTGGTTACTAAGCTTGATGAACGCCACCTGCCGAGCTTCGTTCGATGCTCTAGGAGTTCTGATCTTGTCAATCCACTGGTACTCCGGGTCGTCGTTCACCACCAGCTCCTCAACGAACCCATGGATAGACGTCGCTCTGTAGCCCGGAGGTATCATTGGGCCTGTGAAGAATACGATGAGAATTTATGATAGATTACTATGGGACAAGAAACAATATAAGTTTTTTGGTGTCTCTGCCTGTGTGAGTGACGTTACCGAAAGCTCAATTATACCGTTTTTGTCAATACTGTAAACTCCAAATCCCCCGATCCTTAAATACCTGACCCCAAAACACCAGAAGAAAACTTACAACTCTTCTGGTGTTGCTGGTACATGGGCGGCGCTGATTGGTAACCATCGGGCGATCCGTCTGCTCCTTCGCCATCCTATCTTATAACAAACCGCCACAAAAGAACTTATAACGCGACTAGCGAAAAGTTATTTTTATGCGATAGACACAATGAAAAAGGAGCTACAAGTGCATTGTCGACCTTTTGGGGATAGGGGATTTGGAGATTAGGTGATTGATGGAGGGAAGGATTGGGTCACCAGTAACCTCACTCACATGGCGAAACACAACAGGCACAGTCTTACAGAAAACCGGCGGGTTTTCTGTAAGACCGTGGCATCACTCCTGTTGAGCTAACCTTGCTAAGCTAACTTGTTTCACGCCGGTTTTCTGTAAGACCGTGGCATCACTCCTGTTGAGCTAATCTTGCTAAGCTAACCTGTTTCACGCCGGTTTTCTGTAAGACCGTGGTATCACTCCTGTTGAGCTAACCCTGCTTAGCTAACTTAATGTAACTTAATTTAATAAAGTTTTCCAATTATTGAAATGTAACCTAGTCTATACTAATACATATTATAAAGCTGAAGAGTTTGTTTGCGTGATCGCGCTTATCTCAGGAACTACTGGCTCGAATTATATCATCGTGCCGAAGCATAGCTGCTATTCCACACTTAATTTGATGATAAATAATTAAATTATTTTGATGTTTTAGTATTTAAATAAACATACAATGAAAGAACTGCACTCCACAGCTGGAAGTCTTGTACTTGTTGAAGTCTGAGAACAGTTCCACTTTCACGATGACATTCAGCTCCCCTCTGATGCCGTGCATCGTATCGAAGACGGGGATCCAACCGGACATTACTGCACCTGTGAGATCAACAAATAATTAAGGTAACGCCAAAAATAATATTGTTATTTGCTTGGACAACTTCGAACTCCATTTTATTTTATTTTTGCTCTTAGAAAGTTCACTTTTAGGTTTTTCAAATCAAAGCTGCAGCATTTACTTTAATTAAATAGTCCCTGGTATAAGAACGTAAGTCTAAGGCCCGCGACTAATTGAGTTTTTGTCAACGAAACTTTTTGTAACCAAGTTGTGTGCAATGAAGTTATTATAGGCAGAATTTTAATTCGATTCCACATTTGACATTGAATACTGTCATTTTGTGAAATAATGATACCACATTATAATGGTGTAGTGATGAACACAAAAATCGATAAACAAACGCTTTGGTTTTTTGCTTTAATCTGAGATTTTTGAAAGTAAAGTGAACTTGTGATGCTTGGAGATACGCTGGTACTGTTCCACAGGATACCTACACGAAAATAAATAATATTCCAGTGGATCTTTGCCTGAACGGAACTTTTTAGTGTTTAGTAAAATTGTAACCATGCCATTTTTATTGTCAAACTTGATCAATTTGTAAATGTGAGTGCCGATTGCAATTAGTTAAACTAGCAGAATGTCGAAAAAACACTTCGTAACTTATTAAACGGATAAATCTCTTTGATTTAATACATTTTTTATTCATTTCGCACACAATTATAAAAGGAAAGTCTCAGTTTGTTAATTAATCGTCAAAACTAAATTATCGGTTCAGAGATATTTAATTTCCTAATACATGTACTTTGTTTCATCATCATCATCATCATCATCAGCCTATAAGTGCCCACTGCTGAGCAAAGGCCTCTTCTCACACGGAGAAGGTTTGAGCATTAATCACCACGCTTGCTCAATGCGGGTTGGCGATTTCAAACTTACAATTAGAAATTATAAGTCCAGGTTTCCTCACGATGTTTACCTTCACCGTATGTCAGTGGTGTCTAAATAATCATAGAAAGTACATATAACTCGGAAAAAGACACATTGGTACTTGCCAGGTTTCGAACCCACACTCCCATGCATGAGAAGCGGGCTCCTTAACCTCCAGGCCACCACGACATACGTTCACGTACGTACGTACGTACGTCGTCACGTACGTCACGTACGACATATGTACTTTGTTTACGAGAGTAAAACTATAAATGAGAGGAATCGATCCCAAAATATTCGATTTCCATATCGAATAATTTCGTAACGTCACTATTTAGTACTTGTCATAACGTTGCAACACTGAAATTGTCAAATCTGGAATGGAATTAAAATTCCGAGTATAGTTAGTTACGACGTGACAATACGGTGACTAATATTTGCAGCGTGATTGTCATCCGATCTGTATATTACTATGATATTTGTTCAGTGACATTTTTCTTGCTTATTTCATTTCGAAATCCATTACACAAATACGTACGATTTGTTATTCACGAACAGTTTCAGTGAGCGTATCGTGAGTGACACCAGATGACAGTCACAAAAAGCGTATAGGTACACGGTTGAATAGAGAAACCTCCTCCCATTTTAATTCGACTAAGCAAGACACAATGTTGTCACACATAAAATGGTAATTAACCATTTTATAAGATACAACAGAGGACTTATGAGAATTTCTGAAGTCTCAGTTGAATAGTTCGCCAATCTATGCCAAGTTGCCATAGACTCGGCGATGCAAAACGCCTCAAAACAAAGCTCTAAGAATTGATTAACTGCATTATATCAAGCTAGTTGCAAGTTACTTGCCATAACAGAGATATAAAAAAATGCATTAAGTATTGGTAAGGTACTTCAGGAAATATTCCGGCCTTGGCCATTTGGAACCACAAGTCTACATTCTACAATCATCATTTAGAATTTGAGATACAGAAGAATTAATCGTTTTGGCAACGTTACGATCACATGTGCATTTTAGAGATGAAACATAATAATGTGGCGAAAATAGTCTGTGTTTGTCAGTATTTCTGTAAGCCTTGTTTAGCATGATAACAGAAAAAAAGAAATACATAATGAATGAATTTTCTGCGTCCCAGAACTCTTTTGTTTGTTTATGAATCCATTTTTATGACTTCGACTTTTTAGTTGAAAAAGGAAGAGAAACCAAGGCACTACCGATAGTCGTTGAGACGTCTAAAGCCTAAGTCGTATCTTAGATCCCAAGTCTTACTTACCCCCATGAGGTGTAGCGGTACTCTTGGCATTGTTGGCTTCCCTCGCCAAGAGTGGAGCGAGACTGATCACCACTTTCCCGATGGCATCGTTAGCTGAGTACGTGTCATGGTCCATCAACCGAAGCTGAAGAGGCTCATCTTGAAGCTCTGATTCGTCTACCTGGAGATAGAATTAAACATTTAGAACAGACAATTAGGTGCTAAAAACTCAAGAGAGACACTTTTTCTTAATAGTTATGTATATTTTTCGTGGAACTTAGCTTCGCGATTGTCGCGTGTCTCGCGATGATGATCATGACTATGAGCCCCTAGTGTGGCTTGAAACTAGTCGACTTACCTCGAAACAGTTACGTTACGTTAAAAACGTAACTGCAAAAACGTACTGGCTTATACTATATATGCTTCATTTAAATAAAGTTTTTCATTGATTGAAATGTAAGTCTATACTAATATTATGAAGCTGAAAAGTTTGTTTGTTTGATCGCGCTAATCTCAGGAGCTCCTGGCTTAAATTGAAAATTCTTTTTGTGTTTAATAGACGTATAATTATTGAGGCTTAAGGCTATAAAACATCACGCTACGAACTGTAGGATCGCGAGAGTAGCTAGTTAATAATAAATGTGCATACATTTGAAAAGGAAGTGCACCCTAAATCTTAAAGACAGTTAATGTCTATCACCCCAGTTAATAGACTTGCATCAACAGATAACATAGTTGCAAACAAAATAAACAGAACGTGTGAGATTATTTTGGCTTTATTGTTTAAGTGCAACGTGAATATGTCAAGGTCATTTGGAAGATACCTACTGAGATTCTAAGCATTTTCATCCTAAGAATATTTCTTAATAACTAGTTAATGCTGGCCATTTCCCAAAGTCATTAGGACCACAGAAAGTCCAAAAAAGACTTAAATAAGTAGGAACCAAGATGAAAAATTTTACGCAGTGACTTGTAGCCTAATGCTAACAACTAACTTTTCGGTTCAAGAACAAATACATTTTGTTTGCGCGTCTTCCTAAAAATCACTGAACCTTTCAGAAATTTCAGAGCAAACAAGCGAACCTGCGTAGAAAAGCGGATCAAAATACTCTATCGAAAACAAACAGCGCTGTACGCACATAGGTAATTTAATTATCCAAAAATATCCGAACATACGATAGTCTTCCATTCTTTATACAATATTTCCGTCATCACAGCTTACATCTCCAAAGAAAACATATTGAAATGACCGCAGTTTCCGGATAATATACGCATCGGACGGTAACGTGTGCGAAAACATCTTGCGAATTCGCAAACGTGTTGAAAAACAAACACTGTTTAGTGCGAATAGAGGACATAGCTCTAAAAATACAGCTCGGCTTGTAAACTTTTCTGAAAGCGACAATATGACACAACACCGAGATACGTGTTTTTATAATAACTATCGTGAGACATACTAAATTAACTAAAAAAGGCTGCGCGACGTCGCCGCGTCCGCGCACGCTGCTCATGAGGAAGAACCCCTCTGTGGTTCGAAACTAGTAGAGCTTTTCTCATATATACACGTGAGTAACCCGCGATTTTTAGTTAACCGAGATACGTGTTTTAAGAAATACTCAAGCGTCTTTCTTAGATGAACTAGACATTAATGCCCTTTTTAAAAACTTACGAGGTCTGCCCATTAATAAAAATTATAATGCCAAGTAAGTAGGTACTTACGTACCCATGTATTTTTTGTTTAGGAAAGTCGTCATATAACTTTTCACGCCATGGGTGAGGACGAGAGTGTCCGGATTACTAACGAAAGACCACCCCACTCCACTACATTATTGCCCTACCTATGGTGGTCTTTTTGAGGTGCGCCCGGAAAACGCTTTTCTGGATTGCCGTCTGCAGACTTAAGTCATTTCGTTAAGAGGCTGACGTTTAGAATATTTAAATTAAAAATAATAAAACAATCAATGACTCATCATTTAGTTGTTCAATGAGAGAAGTATCCAAATTTAAGTCCCTAAACCTATTTAATAAACAGTTATCAAACGAGCAATCAACTTCAAGAAGTTTCTAGATAAACAGGTAGTTAAAACCCCAAAAACCAAATTTAAGAGTGAAGGCCATCTTACAGGAGTCTTCTAATAACTAATAGATATTGGACTTCCATAACCAAAAACCATTAATCATACTTTCTAAATCATCGCAAATTCAAGACTGCGCAAAAAAGCTATCCAATAAAACTTCATTTGGCTTCCATCCAAATCAATATTGAATCATTGGATACACACATTGTGGAAATGCACAAACAAATAAGCAGGCAGACGAGCGCCAGACGTGGACGCGATAATACTGGCAACAGCACATGGCAAATGACGGTATGACGTCACTGTCAACGACGCCAAATATTCTGGCACGTTTCTTAGATTATGAAAATCGCGAGGCAAGTATGTGAAATATGAAAGTTCTTTATCTATTCCAACTTTTCAGTGCAAGGTCTGCTATTTTGAATTCGGATTTTTTATTGTTTCTTTGCTTCTCAAACAAGTTTAGATCGCCACGACATGAAGAAAATGGCAATAAAATAAAAAGTTGCAAAAGCCCTCTTCTCTTAAAAAGCAAAATTGCATACATATAATAGCAAATTATGTTTTGATTTGATTGTTTTTAACCGAATTTAATAACTTAGAGAGTTCCAGCTTCAAACAATTGACAAAGTCCTACCTAAGTGTTGACCATTAGAGTGACAACCTTTATTCCGACGGAGTAAACTAATCATTATAGTTAGGTATAATTTGCTGGATGGAATTTCAGGAACTTTATTGTGACAAGCGTTTCTAAACAAGGCTTTACGTAATACCGTAACTAAATTAATGATAATGCCGAGCGTTACAGCCAGTTTCACTAGAAGCAAAAACAACAAGCTTTTGGAGGCAGAGTATAATAAAGTCACCATTCCGTGGGCTGTAAGAACAACCGAGGGGCTCAGGGACTATATTTTTGACAAAGATCAAGCTGCAGCACTCTTTGATAACTCAACCTGAATCTTTTAAACTGCGACATACTGCGACAACGACCACATATACGTAGAGTAGGACATAAAGCCGCTGGTAGTTGATGATGATGAAGAGCAACAAGCAAAGATAGTCTTAAATTTCCCCGTCATTTACTAAGACACAACACATGCATTTGGATTTTCTATTCTTAGTCCAACACGGGATAGACATATCAGCTGTTTGTATAAGTACATATCAACATAATGTAGGTACATGTTCTACATTGTGTAATGAGTGTAACTGATTATAATAATGTTCCAAGGTCATCGTTGACGCCTCTTCGGTCAATTAATATTTATGGTTCTTTGTACGCCAGCTCATTAGCTTCGGTTACTTTTGTTTCTCTTAAATCGTTCAGTTGGCGCTGGTATCGTGTTTAGGCAATAAACTGTACAAAGATTGGGTGAAATATGGCTGATGCTTGACTTTGATTGTTTTCTCTCTATTTTTTCTGAATAGATACTTAGTTAGTTAGTTGTGCTAACGCATTAATTTGTTGAAACTAGTATTGAAATCAGTAAGTTTATAGGGATTCTCATAATTCAGGCTAAGAGGCGTAAGAATCTTAAGAATCTAGCTACCTTCTACCTTGCACAGCTATGAAATGATACTACGGCCTGACAGAAAAAGTGGCGTAAAAACAATGCTTGCTTGTCTTTCGGTGTTAGTGAGGTTACAAGAGGCCAAATCCTTCCCAACACTCCCAAAAGATCAGCAACGCACTTGTAACTCTCTGGTATTGCGATAGACCATGGGCGGCGCCATTTCCTTACATCATGTGTCCCGCTTGCTTGTCCGAAGAACTAGGTACCCCATTACAAAAAAAATGACACATTTTTTCTAAGTGCCTGTCAATAAAACTATACATACATATACCTACAAATCTTTTAACTACCTACCTTGACAAGATGCGTACCTATTGTTATAATTATTTGCAATATTTAACTCTAGATATTAATGTATTTACTGACTGAAGTGTTACGCAAACAATTTTAATCACATTACGCAATCGTTGTACATTCGGTATTCAATTTTTATTGGTTCAATTTAACGTTTTATGTGCATAGTAAAAGTCAGTATTGACTTAAACCTTTTAACTGATACTCGGCGTAAGACGTATTTTACATTGGTTTATGTGATTACAAAGATTTAGTGGTAAACATAAAAATGTTAGTTGTGACTACATTGTAAGCAAATCATGCGGTTTTGAGTGTTTGTAATCACCAGTCTGCAGTGCGACACGTCGGCTAGTTTATCACAACTTGTGTATCTGAATAAGCCTTTTTTGAGGGGGAAAAATGGGCGGGGCAATATGGAGTGTCACACTTTTACTGAATAAAAACGACCCTGTTCCTTTCGCCTTGTCTAGGCCGAGGCCACGGTCCATTTTTGCGTTAGCTTCGCAACCCTGGCTGCACATTGACCCTGTTGGGCACCGTCTGTGGTGGTCTCTTGGCTGTTTATGGCGCGCGCAGATCGCTTTACGCCGAATCTGAACGGGCGGCGAGCTACATTTGCCCACCGTCCGCAGACCCGCACTTACGGTGGCCGGAGATCATCACGCAATCCCCGACGCCCGTAGGGCTTCCTACTGCTCGGCTAGGGCGTGAGATGGATAGTTCCCTAACGCAAGCTGCCTCATTTTTTGCGAGGCTCTCAATTCATCTCACTCCACACCACGGCCTCGACTAAGGCCAGATGCAAGAGTTCACTGCAGCCGACTACTTCCCTGAGGACATGGCGGTGTTAACGGTTGGTTAGGACCAAGCTAACCTCCAGTTCCACTGGCCTTAGACTTGAATAAGGCTGATGCTGCTTGTAGCAGGTAAAGAATAAAGGTCAAGCTCTAGCATTTTGCTCTCCCTATGTGGGTGTAATGAAGAGTAAGATCCCTTTCGTTGAATTATATAATCATAAAAAAACCATTTGCTTTTTATTACAACAGTACATACAGTTACTGAGATATGGGAAAGTTGTAGAGGTGAAACTAGTCATTGTAAAATGTATCCTCAAAATTATTGGTGATCTGATCACTTATCGGGTATAGGTAATCCCTGAGTCATTCAACAAGTTCGGAGATGTCTTATGGTATGGCACATGTTTACCAAAATGATTGCGAAAATATGTAAGTATGTAGTAACCAAATATTTGAAAACAGATTATTAAGTATATAGAATAGATAAAAGTACCTATTACTACATAGTGGCTAATTTGCACAAAATAATTACAGAAATAAATAAATAAAAACAAACTACTTGTCAGTTCAATACTTTTCGTAACATAAAAAACGAAAAATTCGATTAATTTTCAATCAATATGTATATTTACTTACTCTCACTCCAATTAACTGTAAATAATATGGTTCATTTACATTATGGAACTTGGCTTTGTTAAGCTTATCATTTATTTCTTATCTAAGACTGCTTAGATATGACCTATATTAATTCACTATCTATAAATTGAAAGTATCAGCTGTTTAATATATACATATCATCAATATAGATTTTTATGACTAATATCTGTGACGCAAGATCACTACATAGTATAAAACAAAGTCACTTTCTCTGTCCCTGTATCCCTATGTATGCTTAAAACTTAAAACCCATGCAACAGATTTTGATGCATTTTTCTATAGGTAAAGTGTGATTGATGTGGAAGAACTTATACCTATGTAAATTTGCGTAATATTAATAAGATAATGTCATATTGTTTTACAAAAGAAATGTAAGTAACTCTCTCTATCTTGTGAGTGAGACTTGTGTAAAAGAGGGCAAACAAATATGTTATTTTGATTTCATTTAATGCATTATTAAAATATAATTATACTTTCATTAATTGATTAGGTGATATATACTTAATTAAACATTTTTGCTGCCAAATTTCCTTGTATAATTATGATATTTTACACACGGATGTCATAATTATTGCAGTTGTATAAAAAAAAACAGAAAGTTTAGTTTTCGACATTTTAATAGTCTTTTAATTGACTAGCCCTAAAAGATTCCAGATTTTGAATTTAGAACATGGTAGACTGAACAACAATAAAAATAGCTTATTAGTACTAAACAACTAATGAATTGAACTAAAAACTCCTTGCTGCATTTGCACCTAGGTATAGTAAAAGCTAAAGAGTCAAAGATTACTTAACTAATTAAAAAAAAACTCTCAAATACTGTACTACTGTACTACCTACATTCTTATTGTTTTCATACAAAGGTGATGTTAGGCAGAATAACATTATAGGTATTTTAATTGTTCTTCCAATAAAACACTGACCTTTACCCTGACACATCACACAAGATTAAAATTTACTGATTGTTACTTCATTTACAACTAAGTATTGATTGATAATAGAATGCCATTAAAAACAAGATACCTTACTTCTAGCTACATAAAGACAAGATTGAAATAACAGTTTGATATTTTTTTCAGTCTGTTGTGATAAAAAAATGTTTTTGGTGGGTACCTTAAAATTTAACTGAAGGTATTTTTATGCCAAACAAAAATTGTGAATAGTTACTTAAACAATTTTGTTTCATGTTGTAACCAAATAATATTTATGAGGACAAGAATAGATACTTTGTTTAAACAAACATTAAAAGAGAGTCATGAATAGAAACCACCTGTTTGTGTCAATTCAACAGGGTAATATAAACACTGCCCACTAGTGTGTTATTGTTTTGAAAAAAAAAGTATATATTAAACCTTCTTTGTTGGGTAGAGCAAAATCGATTTTATTTTTATGACGAACCTCATTTTGTATTATAAAACATTCTGCCACTTACCTCAAACCTGTACCACTCTGTGCTGTTCCAATGAGGGTTCAGGGACTTTCGACACACATCAGTTTTATGCGTGATACTCCCAAATTTTATCTCAACGAACGCGTCCGTCGTATCGCTGGCCCGGTCCATCACCGGGAGATTCCGGCCAGCCAAAACTTTCACCTTTATCTTCCCAGGCATTTTCGCTTATTGACACTAACACTTAACACTTAAACAAGAAGTAAATAATTCAATAGACACAGCACGACAACATTTTACACTCTATTATCACGTCTTTCATACCAGATTATCACTTCGGAACCTTCCTAATCAGAACGAAAACACAACTTTATATCTTATCAATACATTGATTTCTACAGATCAATGATATGTGATACGGTTATTTCAAGCCTACAGGCACTGGCCAAACTTTGTCTGAATTTGTCTAGACCACATTATCACAAGAAAATTCAGTTATTACAAATGAAAACATCGTTTCGGTACGAATTCATACACGAAATATTCGCGCTCCGAATCACATTTAATTACGCGCTTGTGATATAAACACTGCACCTTGGAGCGCCCCTGCTGTATCTAAATGTTGATCTAAAAGTATTCCGTTGGTTTATTAATAGACAAAATGTGATATTTTATAAATAAAAACGGCGAAACGAGCGACACGCACAATCACAAACTGTCAAACGTAATGTCAACAATAAGACCACGTTTAGTTTTACCATTAAAGTGTAACATCTTCATAATTTTTTTTTTTTATATATATTAAAAGTGTTTATAATTTTTGAAGTATATAAACACAAAATGTCTATTTAATTAATGCTTCAAAGTTATTAAATTATGATGTAACAAAATAAAATTTTATTAAATATTCTTTGAAGTTTGTCAAGCCCACGGTTGCTCAAACTTCATCGTTTTACAACTTCTTTTTCATTGAGTGTTAGGGAAATATTTTTCCTTTTTGCTTCAAAGGTTGTTCAAAACTTTGTTACTTTGTTTCCAGGCATTTTTTTCCTTGTTGGATTTCCTTATTTGTGACTATATTCCACGAAACAACATGAAGTGAAGCCCTTTTATTAGGCACCTATAGCGCCGAGGGATCTCTAGCTTTTTTTATAAAGTCTTTAACGAAAAGACTGCGTAGTTTCCCGACTCCAAGTCTTATTCAACGATTGACTTCCATCTCGAAATAGGACCTATATTCCAGCAATTCTATCATGACCGCATTGTCATCGGAAAAGCTATTGTGCCTCATATAACCACAAATGTAAGGTTAATACTACCAATGTCTCGATTGAATCAATGGCTTTCTGATAGGCCACAAACGCCAAGCATAGATGCAAGTTATACTTCTCGTTATTCTGCTCTAATTGCCGCTGCGTGTGAATGTGGTTTATGGTACTACAAACAGGTAACCGTAGAATGAACGAGCGAAACGAGTCATGATGACCCTCGAGATTAGACTCATGTGTCAATGAGTCTGTAATTCTTCAGTAAGGTGTTGCCTCCCTTATTAAAGAGAATCAGCCCTTCAGAAGGGTGGTGAACTTCGGTGGTAGCATCCGTTTTTTCAACTACTACCCTCGGCTGTCAGCCCCGAAGCCTATCTCATCTTTAACCCTGCCTATTTCGGATGTTATGTGGTATCATATATGTGTATTATTGAGCTGCCAATGTACCTCAGTGCCTAAAGCGCATGCTTTTAATCAGTACGCGGGAATGGAACCTGCGACACGTTACACGGTAGTCACTGTAGTTAATCTGTCCTTCGATAGCTTAGGTTTACGCTATGGTGATTTATTTACTGTCAAACAGGCCAAAGTCAAAGTCAAAGGATTTATTTGCTCTTGAATACAGTTTAGCCACAAGCTTTGTTCTTGTAAGTAAATTAAAAAAACAACGCATACATTTGATACATTTTATTACATGATATTTGCAGTCTTATTTCCAAACTATACATATAAAATAATAATAATAACATTAATTCAAAATATACATAAGTATGTTATTTAAACACCACGGTTCACAGAACTAAAAGTGATTAGGCATAGGTATTACTTAAAACGTACAACAAATATGAATTATGACACAATCCTCTTAATTATATATTTTTTAATTTTTAATAAAAATGTGGCATTGTGTTGTCTTCATTGATATTGTTTGACATCGGTGGCTGGCAACCCAAAAATTGAAGGACCGAAAGTGTTGTCGTATTATTCTATATTTGACACTTTATTGCAAAGGAATTTATTGTAAAATTATTGTTTGGTTATACATTAAAATATTTGAATCACCTTCTCATACATTAATGAGCATACAGCATACTTTAACATTAATATTATTGAAACAAAACCGCGTTTAGTTATCACCATATTGGACAATGCAGTCTTACAACCATTATAATAAATATCAGTGACTGAGCAGTAACTTATGACAATGATAATACAAAAAATATATAAATATTTTGACAGAACATTTCCCAATCAACCTTAATCCTACTGGCAGTTCCATGCATTACATTAGATGTATTATTTCAATTACAATCTCCTTCATTCACAACCTTCCTTCACCCCAATTACTTCCAACCCGTATCAAAAATATACCTACGTATCTAACTATCAAAGGTGTAAATGGCACAACAGTCTTTATTTCGTGTGTAGAAAGAGTCATTACCATTCACGCATTTGGTTTGGCCTTTCATTTCAAATACCATTCGAACATCAATGGAGTTACCGTTACGTTTTCTGTTCACTAGATGGCGCTAATCTAACAAAGGGCAGTTTGGCCAATCACTGTAGTACGTAGTCGAAAAATTAACGTCCAATTGCGTGACGCTTAGATCCTATTGGACAAAAAAACGAGAAGTCCACACTGGCGCCATCTGATGAGCAAAAAGCGAAAGGCTCCATTGTATACGCATACAGGTCAACATACTTCGATTTCTCAAAATTCTTCGATGGATGTGGGACGTTTCGGTTAAAATTTTAGGATTGAAAATCTTATTTTATATTCGCGTACCTACATTGATATGTTGTCATACATACACTTGCAGCAACTTGACAATACATGTCTCTAAAAGGCTAACCAATAAAAAAATTAAGAATCTTTTCGGAAACCCGACCAATACCTACCTTATTTTTATTTTTAGACAGAATATTTTCAATAAATAGACCATACAAAACGCACTTTAAGAAGACGTTGTCAGAAGCATCTCTATCTCATTCATATGTATGTATTTTGTAAATGAAAGAACGAGACAGTATTCCTATTGCAGTGATTGCTAATCTTTCCGAGAAGTTTTAACTAATTAACTCATGGTTGGCACATCGACATAGATATATTATAATAATATAGAGAAATATGACCTTCAAGAATTCAGATAAAGTTATAAGATTTATATTTAGAAACTTGCAAAATATTTCGCACTTTTTATTTTAATATGTATTGTGATGAAGAGTATTCCTACCTATTTTAGAAGACAAACTGCTAGTTAAACAGTGCTGGGTAACTAAAAAATGATATGTAATTTCTAAGTATTCTAATAAATGCATGCTGTTTTCTCTGCAGCTCAGATCCTATTGGTAGTAGTGAAATGTTTTATATTATAACCTATTAATTGTTCAAAACCGAACCAGTAGTTTCCGAGATAAGCATGTTCAAACAAACAAATTCTTCAGCTTTATAATATTAAGTCTAGATAGACAGATAGCCTAACCTAACATTAAGAGATACAGTTGTGTCTGGGAAATTCCGGTCCTTGAGGTTTTTACCCACTATTTATTTAAAAGTCTCATAAATTCTAATACTTAAGCCTATATAAGGCCTTTCTTACGTCTATTTTACTCTTAAAGCTTTGACACTACTTTTGAATATTTCGATTTATTTTTATGTACACATAACAGTTGGCAGTAACAAATATAGCAAAGAAAAAAGATTTTACACTTTTTCCATCGCTCTGAAACCACAGACAAAACAAAATAAAAAAAAATAAGATTAAGAATAAAACGCAAATTAATAATTTAACATTTGGTGAGAACCCTTATTCGTTGGCATAATAATACGATAATAACATAGTTAAAAATCTACTTAACTACGTGACAGTATTACCACAAAAAATAAATAAACACAGCATTTTGCAAATGGTAACAAAATAACAATGATGTACTTACACTGGTTTAAAGAGTTTTTAAGTGATCAACACTTACTATTTTTTAACTTTTTTGAGCATTTTTTCGATGTCTTGACTACCGGCTGGATTGGGGCGTTTAAGTTTGTGTTTGGCTGATAATTTGGGGATGCAGCTTTTGACCGGAGTCCTATTGGGGACTGGAAAGGTGTCTATTTTCGAATGACCCCCTAATCCATCATAGGATATGTCTAAATTCCCTCCAACTTTGCCGTCAAGCGATTCAATCTTCATTGGCTCCTTCTTATGAAAGATGCTGTGTTTCGAGCTGAGTGTGTTTGATTTTTCACCCAAACGTTTCATTGTTGCGTTCTTTATCGAATTCAGGTAGAAATGTTCTGATGGCTGGAAAGAAAATTTTTATATTTAGTGAATCATACACACGGTAGTTTTCAACTACCAAATTCAATATGTACTTATATCTAAATGTCAAAAACGATACTTTTCTATGAAACTCCAAATCTTAATAACTAGTTAAAAAATAGTACAAAAGTTTTGAACTTTTGTGTATCAACACATTGATGAATAGTATGTGTATGGCATGGCGGGAAAGTATAGGCATTTGTCAATATTTTATTGTATTAAAATGACGGATTAATCTATTTTTGGCCTAGGAAACTACCCAATGGAACTCAAAGAACTTCAGTGATGTTAATATGACTTAATTCCTCACTAGCGCCATCTAGCGAGTGCGAAAACGGCGATCTTTATTTCTTACCTTAACTTTTTCAGAAAGTTTTAACGGTGCACGTTGTAATACTGCTACAGAGAATAAGCTGCCCTGTTTCAAGTTCAAATAAGGTGAGTCTGAGTTTTCAATGTTATGCACCAGGTTGTTCTGAAATATACGAAAAAGAAAACACATTAAAAATGAACTTTGTCAGGCTAATTGTATATTTTTTACATGCATTGGGCATTTTAAACGTTATAATTCATGCATGTAATTTTTTAAGCGAACCCATGTACCTATCTCGATCAAAATAAAATTTAATTCGAGACTGATTGTCGAGAACCGTATTCAAATATTGGGTAGGATTTATTAATTTTGATTACCGAATTTGAAATTCTTAATTTATTTACAGATATTATATAAGAATGTTTTAGGATGTATTAATAGAAATAATATTAGTACGGTTGCCACTAAGCGCCTTACTGGTTACAAAACAATGGTCGTTACCAAACTCCTGACAGGAACATCTTCTTGAAAGAACATTTATAGTGTTAGTAGTGTTAATTATTTACCTACAACAACTATAAATAACTGATGTAACTTCAACGAAGGAAACCCCAACAAGACCACTAGAACATAACATCAACATACAAAACACATTAGGTATACTTAGAAACAGCTTAACAGCGTTTTAGGGATCGGATTCTCGATATTTGGCCAATCAAAAGTGGGAGCTACACCACTTCGAACAAAGTACAGTTTAAATGGCGAACGATCAAACGGATGACCTGATGGTAAGCAATCAGCACCGCCAATGGACATCCGCAACAATGGAGTTACGAATGCGTTGCCGACCTTTAGGGGATCGGGAATTTGGAGATTTTCGCGTTGGGAGGGATCGGAGGAGGAGAAGAATAGGGTATATGGATTTAACTGTCCGTCTGTCTAACCTTAGTTTGGGTTGGAATCTCTGTATGAGTTTTCATAAATACAATTTAGGTTATAATAAACTGATGAGTATCGCAAAACCGATCCCTAAGACACTTTTTGAGAAAGAAAAAACAAGTAAAATTACTAAACAACTTACAAAGCTAGAGTTATTGCTGTGTGTCTCCAAAATCGCGTCATTAAGGGAGGGGGGAGGGGATTGTGCATCCTTCTCTATCACATCTGCTGTCGTCGTTTTTTGATCTTTCAAATCTGGGATTTCTTTTTCATTTTTCAATGTTTCATATTTAGTGTTCAGTGAGTCATACCTATTTTGAGCTTGATGCAGATCGTCTTCAAGTTTACTATAATGAGAAAGATGAACTATTAGTCAAAACTAGGTCTTGTACTACCAAGATAGATTTAATTCCTGATTGGGAAACAAAACATAATTTTTTTATTAATTACTATTCTATCTAAGTAGAATATAATAACACTTAGATAAAGTTATCAAATATTATTCCCGAATGACTTCAAAAAAAGCCTTAGTTTTTTTTTTGAGGAAGAAAATCATCACATTGCTTCTCTCGCTGTGAGTATGTCGAGAGGGACTGTCAAACTCTTATTGACTAAAAACGCCTCCATTCATTTTCCTGCTCTAGGCCGAGGCCGCGGTACCTTACAGCGCTTGACATGCAAAAAAAGCCTCAGTAAGAAGGTAAAGAAGATAAAAGTTGAAAATTCTCACACAACTTGTCTTTGCAGATCAGCAACCGTCTTCTTCTCCAGAGCAAGCTGCTGTTTGGCCATATGCAGCCTGTCCCGAGTCTCATTCTTCTTAGTCTCAGAGTCACACAGGGCTCTGTAATGTCAATTACAACTAGATTATTGGTTGGCAAAGGATTTGATGCCAAGATGAAATTACAATTGGGTAGTTTCCTAGGTCTTGTATCACTCGATTTTTGTTTGATTGGGAAAACTTAGTTAGCGCCAGTGTGCACTCCACTGTGAGTGTTATGTATGTGATCCACTTCGGTATATGTAGTGAGATACAAGAAAACATTTTATACAATTAAACATTTTAAACATATAGTCATCTGATTAGAGAATTTAAGTTACCTTTTAAGAGCCGTAGCGAAAGTAGCGATAGTTTTCACATCAGTGTAGCTATGTAACATTTGTTCTACGTCTTCACTTGTCGCATTAAGAACTCTTTGCAGACTGAAATACAAACATTAATAACATTAGAAGTGCTGTAATGTTGAGTAATATAAAAACTATTAACTGTATTAAAATTTCCTATTCCATTTTTCTAAAAGGGGTAGTTAGCACAAAAATAAAGTAGGAAAATAATAATTAAACTGATTAATTTCAAATAAGAGTTCTTTTTTTATGTGATAGGACGGCAAACAAGCGTACGGATTACCCGATGGTAAACAATCAGCGCCGACAAAGACACCCGCAACAATGGGGGAGTTACGAGTGCGTTGCTGACCTTTTGGGGATTAATGATTTGGCGATTTTGGGATTGGGGGAGGGGAAGGATTGCCGAAACAAGACGCTCCCAAACTTGAATTTTACAATCCCACACTGGGAAATGTGTTAAAACACATTCATTGTCTTCTTCAAAACAATATTCTTACCCATTAAGAGTCTGCATGTTCTTTTTCAATGCTTCATTCTCTTCTTTCACTCGATGCAGTTCTTTATTCTGCACATTTAATATTTCCAGCTGTTCTCGTAGAGCTAGCACCTTGGAGTCAAAGCTTACTAGCCTCTTCTCATATGATTTTAGAAGATCACTGCAATAAAAATTTAATATATAAAATATTTGGGTAGTTTTCTTAGACAGAACTAAATAATTTCAATGTTTCCAGCCAAAAAAGTATTGAAAAATAATGAATCTAACATGAATTTTCTTCAAAAATAAGTTTGTCATTTGACTAATATTTTGTGTTAATTACTTGCAATTTCATTTCATAGATACCTAAGTAAAATTTTAGACATTTGATTAGATGGTTAACTACCATATTAGTGTTGTGTCCTCAGTCAAAAATAAGTGAACTTTTCTGGCTTTATAAAAAACTAGCTAATCTCTGCGGTTTGATTAGGATTTGTTCTCCATAAAGTTTATAACAGTATAAACCAAGAATTTACCTTTAACCTTTATGAGATACCATACATTGTGTCGCGCTTAGATTCACTTTCTGACATACTACAGGTTAAAGGACGAGATAGTAGCTAGTTCTTTTATGACAAGTACTTACTCTTGTCTCTTCAAGTCTGCCGTAACAACGGCCAGTTTATCTTCCTTCTCCTTATATTTGGCTCTTTGTTGACGCAGCTGTAGCTGGGCATCGTCTAACCGTGACTGTAAAGTCGCGGCGTCTTCGCTGTTATTCTCATTAGATATTGTGGGGAAAAGACGGAACATACATTTGTCCGTCACTTTGTTCCTGCATTGCGGACAGGTTTTGGATCTGAAAAATAGTTTCTTAGTTAGAGAATGAGACAAGAATAATAATTCTACTTATTAGAGATTAGAAAAGAAAATATAACTAAATGAAAAATGGTGAACCTCATTATGTTAAAGAAATTGTTGGCTGAATGACTAACTAGAATAAAAAAATATATCAAGTGAACTAGTTAACTAACTAATGACCTTACCCATTAGTTAGCACAAAGGAATTTTTAGAAAGGTTGTAGAAATAATATATCAAATTGCATAGCGGACCTAATTTAAGCTTATTAATATTGACCTGCGCTAGTAAATACAAGTTCAATATAAAAATAATCACAACAATATTATCAGTTAACACACAAAATTATCAGTTTAACCCATGTCCAAAACAAAAGAATTTCGTAGATATACCTTTCGATCCACTGTACAAGGCAATGGTGGTGGAATATATGACCACATTTAGTCACAAATATATTTTCAGCTTGATTTACGAGATCACTGCATATCGTACACAAAATATGCATCTGAAAAAAATAATTACAATACTCTAGTTTTAGGTTATGTTTTGATACGCATTTTATGATACTTTTTCGAAATTGCTCAGTATAAAGACTATTTTTGAAGTATAATTTAAATTTAAAAACAAATATTTGAATGTTCTTACCTTTATTTTTTATAAATATGGTAGATTAATCCGCAAAAACTCACAAATAAGTCGAAAACATTATAGATACCTACATTGAAAAGATTTCACTGAAATTATAATATCCATGACATATCTCACTAAGATATTGTAGCATTTCACTTCAGCATTGCTTTAAATCTACGGCGTAATGTAACTTACACAATTTTTAGATAAAAGTTTAAATTACTAAAAATATTAGGTACAAACAAATAAAACATCTAACGCCAAACCACGAAAATGTCAATTGATAAGTAGAGTTGACAGTTAAAATTATTGCAGTTGTAAAAATATGTAAGGGTTGCTATTTTTATTTAAATGTATTGACTTGATTTTTTATATTGCTCTGTAATAAGTTTGACTTTCTTTCAGTCTGAAACCAGTGATTATTATTTTTGTTGTGATATAATTTCATTATTATGTCCGCTGTTAGAAAATACACATCATGCGAAGTTTTTAATCCCGGATGTCATATGATCTGGAGTATTTAAAAACAAGTTTTCTGGTGATGCCTCATTTGTTGGTAGGTACATAAAGTCAGCACTTTGAAATGTAAAAAACATTGAGAGCGAAGAGATGTTGCTTCTTTCCGAGGCTAAACTTCGTCAGAGGTGGTAGCAGTTTCACCAACTCGGTAATCTTAGCACCTCCTGGTCGCCGTTGAGGCGAAGCTGCCTGCTCAAGTCTTGTGTCTATAATATCATTAATGTCAAACAAAGGTTGGGGATTTTTCCAATATCGTGATTAGGTCACTGACATATCTAATATTTTTTCAGTTTTATTACGTTACGGTACCGGGTCCAATATGAGTGGCTTAAAAATAAAACAACAGAAAGTACATTAATTTCTGTATCTTACGCAAGGAATACATTTTAAAGCTATAAAGTCCATATAAAAATATCTGGAATGTAAAATGGCAACGAATCTTAAGTAGACGTTCACATAGAATTTGCATCATGGCCCTCAATGTGTTAGTCGCCTTAGAGCCCTATCTATCTATATATCAATACATAAGCGTGCTTATTGCGAGTTTATTTAAATTAACGTGATCGAACGTTACAGCGTTTAACCCTCTGATTGGTTTGTTAACTTGGAACTGGCCAATCAGAACAAAGAATATCATAGGTATATGTATCAATCACGTTAAAGTTAAGCAAACTCGCACTAAGCCTTCTGGTCGAGCAACCAACCTAGGGAGGTCTCTCATCCGAGTGTCTTTTAACACCGATTCGATCAGGTTAGCCTTAACTACAATTTTTTTTAATTCGAATTTTTTCAGACTCAGCGGACTTATCGGCAAGGGTTTGCTGTTTCTGAGTTATATAAGTATCTAGATATATATCACGCATCATCAGCCTATAATGCCCTCTACTGACCAAAGGCCTCTTCTCACACTCAGAAGGTTTGAGCATTAATGGCCAAGCTTGCTCAAGGCGGATTGGGGATTTCAAACTTAGAATTAGAAATTAGCCAAGTTTCGAACCATATAAATTATAGTTAGTTCTATAGCAAAGAAATCGGTATAAAAACTCCCATAGTGTCAATTCGTCAAACAACTACTTGTTGGCAATCAAATTAACTGTAGTGGTCGTTCTTGTTTGTCTTTGTAGACAGGATGGTTGCGCGAAGATTTGCCGTAGACAGCCAGGGCTCTTAGATTTCAAAATAACATTAACACAAAACTATTCGGTCAAGTATATCCTGAAAAAAAAAAATGACATATAAATAGAAAAATGTTTTTCTTCCCTACTCTTCTATTTCTTCCATCTTTTTATACGCTTTCTTGAGATCTTCTAGAAGACTCATAGCTTGAGATTTTTCGATGAGAAGCTCTTTCTTCTGCTGTTCTCCTGTGAATACATCATGGCTGTGCAGCGTGAGGGTGAAGGTATCCACTGTTCCTTCAGGTCCTGGGGCCGCTGTTACATCTGTCAGCTTGTTAACTGTAAAGTAAAGTTATTTGGTTAAGAACTTAAATAAAAACGGAACTTACTGCCCGGTTGGCGCAGTGACTGGGCAACTGGCTGCTGCACAATGTGTTGTAAAAAGGTTTAATTTCTGCACGTATTTTGAATGTGGGTGGCTTGTGTTAGGTAATAAACGCATCCATTACACAGGAGTAAAGGCTAGTATAACAACCTCAATGTAAAAAAAAAACAAATTAAATAAGTTTGATTCCAGATGAACGCATCAAAGTAAAGGTCATTTAATTGGTCCCGAAGGAGTGAAGCAAGGAATGGTAAAAAATAGCCAAAGAAATAGTGGATAGATTATTTGAATAATGATAATAGAATTTGAAGGCGTTTGTATAAGGATGGCATGTGACATGGAAAACAATCAGTTCAACTAACGGGTGTTGCTTGAGTTGTGTCTGTGCAGACGTTACAGCAGCTCGCATTTCCAAGCCCGCCTATTAAAATGCGTATCATTTTCAGTTTTAAATTAGTTCACACAACAACACAAGTTATTACCTAAATACAATGCAATGGTTACTGCCATATCAGACTGGTTAGATAGGTAGGTACGAACGTGGAAAGTTAAAAGCCATTATCAACTTACTCATAAAACCGTTAGCTTCAACATTAGCTACATGCTCCGGCCTGTAGTTGTCCACAGCATCAGCAAGCGCGCTGGCATGACTTCGAGGTACACCCAGCACGAGCAAGTCTCGAGTGAGCTGGGCACCCGTGCATGCACAAGCACAGGACTGCTGCACAACCCAGCGGATGACCGCAGCAGCACGGGCGCATTCGTCGCGGGATGCTATATTAATGTCATAAAATGTTATTAGAGTTTTAATCATTATGGGCGGGCTCAGGGCAAAACTTTATAATATGTATTACTTAATAAGAATTTTCGATTTAGTTTTGAACTTCGAATCGAAATTATCAAAAGAAACTAGATGGGAATCAGATGTAGAAAGTCATCTCGCTTGCGACCATTTTGACCAACGAAACAATTTATTAATTCCTTTAGAACAAGGGAACTAATTCCTTTATCTCGTTGGTAATTGCGAAAAAGAATAAACAAAAAAAGAAGTTCTTATCTATGTTACTGCAATAAGGTATCCTGCGTATCAAGGTAAGAAACGTTCTTATTAAAGAAAGTAGTAGTAGTAGTAGTATTACAGTGTATATTAATTTACTATCTAAAACACTACTTATATAAAATAATGCACTTACATAAGTTCGTGTCTTTTAGTATTTCCATGATACCATCATCCTGTAAGAGATAAAAATATTAATTTAAATATTTAATTTTTTCACAATTTAAGTGTGGGAGAGCCATGCTTCGGCACGAATGGGTCGGCTCGACCGGAGTGATACCACGGCCTCACAGAAAACCGGCGTGAAACAACCACAGTGTTGTGTTTCGCTGTGTGAGTGAGGTTACCGGAGGCCCAATCCTTCCCCTTCCCTAATCCCTCCCCAGTTCCTAAATCTCCAAATCCCTAATCCCTAAAAGGTCGGCAACGCACTCGTAACTCCTCCGTTGCCGGTGTCCATGGGCGGCGCTGATTGCTTACCATCAGGTAATCCATCTGCTCGTTTGCCAAAATATTACATAAAAAAAAAATTTAAGATTATGAAACTGATTGAAAAAGAGTAACCATTGAGTTTTATGCTCGTTCTTCTCCACATAAAGTCTACGTTTTGGAACTCGGAAATAGCTTCACTAGGAGACTGACACTTTTAGCGAGGTAGTGAGCCACTCGCGAGAAGCAGAGGCGGGTCACTAGTTTTAATATAATACCTAATCATAATAACACCATTATCCTTAAACAACGTTTCTAAATAAATGCAAATAATATATATTACCACTAAAAAGGTCAAACAACATATGAAGTGCTACATACGACGCGCGACGACTCAATTATCTTAGTTCGGAGTCAAAGGCAATGTGGGTGAGACCATCAACCAATATAACACAACAAATTGACAAAGGAACCCCGCCTAATGTTATTTTTCTCAGGAAACATTAGAACATTAGAAAACAGATGCCATTTTGTATTTGGTCAGTTTGGTAAGTAGGTACCTATAGTTCAGAAGGTTTTTTTGTTTTAAACGGGGAAGCCATCCAATTCCTTCTCCTGCCTTGTGCAGGGCAAGAGGGAGTGCCAGACTCTTGCTGACTGAAAACTATTCATTCTCCTGCTCCACGCCAAAACCGCGGTACATCATTGCGCTTGTTCCCGCAAATCCAACTGGATAACAAGCCTAGTGGGCCCCATCTATGGTGGTGTGATGGTTCTTTGAGGTAATTATTTATCTTTGTTAAGGATATTGTTATTTACAGAATACTGTGATACGTTCCAGACCAGGAGTCGCTGATGTGGGCGGCGACATTGAAATGAAACTGACTGGGCCGGACACGTCAGCTGAATGCATCCGGAAAGATGGGTCACTATTGTCACCTCAGGATGGACGCCACAGGCGGGGTAGGCCCCGGAAAACATGGCGTGGTGATCTAGAAGCCTATTGCCAAGACTTGTGGACACGGTCGAGAGATCGGGAGGTGTGGAAGTGAGATGGGAAGGCCTTTGCCCAGCTGTGGGACAATAGGCTAGAAAGAAAAAGAATTTTGATTTTGGGTAATGGTAGACGCGGTGGTATCAATTACTAATGATCAGAGACTAAAAAGAATTCTAATTTTAAATCAAGTAAAATTAATTTAAATCAGCGTTCTATTGTATTACAAGATCCTTTTCTGACAATATTTTAGTTTTGTAGTTGGACACGAAGAGCTGAATAGAGTATTAACTGACTCAGTGGAAGATATGTTGTTAGAGACGCCTCTTTCTACCAGAAAATATAAAAGAGCTGGTAAATTTTAACAGAAGTAAATTTAAAATGGCTTATTTTACAATCAAAAACAAAAAAAGAATTACCGACAAAACATCATCAAAAATTGTTTACTTGTAATCAAAAGTTTTATCCAAGATCCATAATCTTTACAGAAAAATACGAGGAAAAGCTAGCCACTTATATTACAAGTGTGTCGAAATATGGAGGTGGGTGTAAGTGGGTGATGTTTGCAGGTCAATAAAGACACGTCAGTGACATAACCGTCCCTTTATTACTGCGCCCCTTTTGTTTTACTGAGATGAAAATAATTAGGATAAGTCAGTCTGCAATTTCGTAAGCATGTGTGGGCGAAACACGCTACTTATAATATGTAACCTCATTAAGAGATTTCTTCTAAAACATCATCATGTTTTTTTTTTGTCTTCTCCCACCCAGGGTCAGGCGGGAGGGATTGTCAGACTTGCTGACTAAAAGCCCCCCGTTCCTTCTCCTACTCTGGGCCGAGGCCGCGGTGGCTCATTCTCTTACCCTGCAACCCCGGCTGAACATCAGCCCTATAGGGCCCCGTCTGTCGTGGTCTGGTTCTGGTCGGGCGGCGAGCTGCCCTTACACGCCGTCCGAAGACCCGCGCTCACAGTGGCCACAGATTGTAAAACATTACCACGTTGCATGCTTTACTGTGCGATGTTGCATTTGGCTTTTGATTAGTGAGCTTTATAAATAACAAACAATAATTATAACTAAATACTAGGTATTGCTGTTACCTACATAGGGAGTTACCTTTTTATTCACTTTAATGTAAGTCCATTGTAATTGTAAGTATTTGAAAGGACCAGATGAATTGATTTTAGGATACACTTACATACATACATTTGTATTCATTTATCCTCGGTGATTGAAGACTTGGGTCTTCATAGGCTAGATTAGAGGTATCATAAGTACCTACAACTTATTCAAAGACTTGAATGTTTTCTTTATCAAAATCTTCAGAAATAGCCATATAGTCAGATTTTTCCTCTTCCTACAAAGAATTTCTCAGTACATAAACTTCTTTACTGAAGAAAGGTGCAAGTAAGTTTGAAAACTCGTAAATCAACGTCACGTTACGTTCCTAAGTTGTCTAAATACTTATAGGTAAATATTTTCTAACATATTTGAAAGAAGCGTGCATTCATTGATTAGAAATGGCGTCGATGTTACTAACTAGTGTTGAAGAAGTTCTATATTTTATAAGTATGATAGGACGATAAACTGATGTTTCCGTCGATATTTTCCTTCATCGTTTTTCAAAACTCGGAAAAAGTCATATTGGTAAGTACATATTAATTTATTTAACTAGGTATATATACTTGTACAATATGTTCAATACCAACAAGTAACCTCGCAAGCTGACTTTTGGATGATGCAGTGAGAATAGGTGCAATAAAGTATAAGACGATGAGACGATTTAGTACTGTGGGAGAGCCAAGCTTCGGCACCAAAGGGTTGGCTCGACCGGAGTGATACAAGCCTCACAGAAAAACGGTGTAAGCCCACCACAGCGTTGTGTTAGTACTGTTCACTATGAGGTTACGGAAGGCCTAATTCTCCCACTCCCCATTCCCTCTAATCCATAAATCTCAGAAATCCTTATTATAAAAAGGCCGGCAATACACTCATAGCTCCTTTGGTATTTTGGGTATCCATGGGCGCTGATAGCTTACCATCCGTTTTCTCATTTGAGGATATATTACATGAAGAAAAAAACCAAATTACCTATCTATATATATTTGCTCACCAAGAATGTAACCGGAGACCCGAAACCCAACCAACTGCGGCAGTCTATATTAATAAAATACATATTTCAAACAAAATAAAACGTTATGATAAAACGATAGAATTGAATTTACAAGACCATTCGAATACGGGACACGTGCGATGATATGTGACAAATGTCTGTCTGTACGTTAGACATGATCTTTATGTCTAGGCGGTGCAAAGGATTGTTATTTTCTTTATTTTTATCTTTAAACTTTCAATCGTGGTTATTCGAGACACTATAGTAATAAGACAATAGGTGCGCGAACGCCGGCGTTCGGTTGAGCTTTGGTAAAGTAATATTAACATCACATTACATCATCAGTCATTAAGTGCTTACTGCTGAGGAAAGGCCTCTTCTCACGCGGAGAAGGTTTGAGCATTGTCCATCCGGTGTAATATGTTGGCTCGCAGGTTTGCACGTTGTACTACTCAAGTAAGGATAACATTATTTAAAGCATACTGTCAGACCTTCTACACGTGCAGCCTGTGGACTAATTTTACGCTGCGGGGGTACAGTGCACTGCGAGTCCAGTATAACAATGCGTTTAGGATATTGTTGGGGCTGCCACGCTTTTGTAGTGCTTCCGCTATGTTTGCTGAGGCGCAAACCGATGATTTTTTCGCAATAATTAGAAAAAGGTGCGCCTCGCTGTTAAAGCGTGTGCGTGGCAGCCCGAATGGTATTCTGAGCACATTGTCACAGCGGTGGGACTCACCAATGCTAATGAGGTGGATGCGATTGCACGCCAGCGGTCCCGCATATGTATAATTTATTTACACTTGACTTGTTTAATTTATTATTTTAATTTTTAAATTTCTATATTATTTTGTATAAAATTGGTTTGACATTTTCTCTTTGTGTATTTGTTTTATTTGACTTGAATTCACTTATATTTAATGTAATCTATGTTATGTAATGTAATTTTATGGATTTTTATTATCTGAAATAAATTGAATTGAATTGAATTGAATTGAATTGTACACCACGCTAGCTAAAGCGGATTGGCGGTTTCAAACTTATAATGAGAAATTATATGTCCAGGTTTCCTCACGAAGTTTTCCTTTAACGTATGTCAGTGGTGTCTAAATAATCATAGAAAGTATAGGTACATAACTCGGAAAAAGTCAAGTAGGTAAGTATTTGCCAGGTTTCAAACCCTCGGAGCCACCACACGGCGTTTTTAGAAATAATATTAAGTAATACAACATCATTTAACTTTACAACCTTGACTTGTCGCGGTGGCTGTGCAACCAGATGCCTTGCAAGGTGTCATCATCAACAGTTGTTTCCGTCCCCTACTGGACATAGGCCTTTCCAATTGCACGCTATTGAGCTCGATGTTCAGCTCTTTTCATCCAACCACTGCCGGCCACTCTACGCATATTGTTAGTTCACCTAACTGAAGGATGTACACTACGCGCCTAGATGCAGTTTCTACTCCAGAACCTACCCCAACGGCCATCGGTTCCTCGACAAATGTAACCTGCCCACAGCAACTTCAGTTTGCTGATCCTTTGAACTACTGTGTTGCGAATTTTATTCCTGCGCGGAACAACTTCATGTGATGCGCCAGGGAACAATTATAGAGTCTATTAGCATATGCTTAATATAAACCCATGGTTTGTGTCATTAGCAAAAATAAACTAAAAATGTTCTATGATTATTTAGACAACACTGACATACGGTGAAGGTAAATATAGTGGAGAAACCTGGACTTATAATTTCTGATTATAAGTTTGAAATCGCCAACCTGCATTGAGCAAGCGTGGGGATTAATGCTCAAACCTTCTCCGTGTGAGAAGAGGCCTTTGCTCAGCAGTGGGGACTTATAAGTGCTATAGTGCTCAGCCTATAGGCTGATGATGATGATGAACATAAAAATGTTGTTCCCGGTCCGGATGCGAGGCACCGTATGTTTGCAAACGCGCTCACGACACATGAGAAAGACCTAGTTCTTTTTTAGATAAAAATACTCTAACTTCACAACCTATTAAGGGATAGGTATGAAGCTGCACAAATATACTTATGCACCAATTATGTCATGGGCCCCATGGATTAGGGAATGAGCCTGTGCGAAAGACCGGTTTTAATTCAAGCCAAAAAAATCTAATTACAATTATTGCCATCAACCCTTTAGTTGGTAGTAGCGCTTCCTATCACTCGAAATTTTTGTCTCTTTTTCTTCTTAATACTGTTCTAGAACGAAAATTATACTTACAGGTTGTTCTTCCATGACATGTTGCAGCAGGGTCCGGAACAGGGTGGCTGGTAGGCTGGACAGCGCGTGCAACGCCGCCAAGGCCCATAGAGGACAGTCGCCATCCGAACAGAATTTGAATTTCTATTGAAAATATCATTTTTTTAGTATTGGAGTTAAATATTAAAATAAGTATTTTAAACACTTTATTTAATTTAAATCCAGGTGTTTACAACTCTCAGCCGGTGTTGCGGTGTAAGCGCAATAAGGTACCGCGGCCTCGGCCTGAATCATAAAAAGGAACGGGGAGTTTTTTAGTCAGTAAGAGTCTGACACTCCCTCTCGGCTCAACCTGGGTGAGAGAAGTCAATTGATGATTTTCCCCTCGCAACAAAATTAAACATTTATGTCTTATTTTTACTTCTAAATCCAAAAACAATGCGAGGATATGCCCATGATTTTCCTTGTTTCAAAAACTAGTCAGAACTGAATATCATCAAATGACTTCGCTCTCCTCACCCTGGGCGAGAGAAGAGAAGTCAATTGATGATTTTCCCCTTAAAAAAAGGTATTTAGAACTGTTCAAAATTTTGAAGATGTCACGGATTCTGCATAACTTGGAACTCAAAAACCGTTTAGTGAAAATCCTGACAGTATGCACTTTTCCACTTCAAACCCTATATTTAGGTAAATTAAGTATCATTTTTACAGTCACTTTAGATACTATTTTATCACTACCAGAATTTGCAATCCCATCTTAGTACGTAAGTAACCTTTAACAAAATACTGTGACATTGAGACAAAACAAATGAAAGGCAACTTACCATGGTGTCAAATCGCTCGGAACTGTAACAAAGCATTATAAAATTAACATGGGAATCACATGCACATATGATATTCTATATTTCTACATCATAATAAAATGTAGGAGGGTTAGTATGGGGTGTTAGTTCGCACAATTTGATTTTACATGTTTAGAATGGGATGATAATTGTTGCTCTGTTTTATATTGTAGCAGCTAAGTTTTACCCAAGGTTTTGTCTGCGTGAATTTTCTTCAAAAGACTACCTACTTAATATATAATGATCTTGCACGGTTTTGATACATTATATTTTTTATTTTGTTACATTGTCTGGACTACTGGAGTTTGTTTCGGGATTTCTTCTGAGAGTAGTTAGTTTGGAAGTGCCGGCTTTATCTAGATTTTATATATCGACACGTAAAAGTGCTGTCTCATGGCTTATTTGCAAAATTAAACCCAATGTTTCATTGAAATACCTAATAAAGAGAGAGTAAATAAATTCATAGAAACTTAACGCTACACAGCATTCGAAAAGCACTCAAAGGTGAGGAGACCAACAAAGCCCACAATAGACACTTGGTTCAAAACTTTGACAAACAAACAAACTGACATATTAACAAAACATGTTTCTATTTATCTACATACATATATGTATGTGACTACAGCATGAGAGATAGCTTATAGTGGGAGTGTAATTGATGTATTTTAATATTACATATTGTCATGAGGTTATAACAGACGTCATGTCTGTATGGCGATTAGACGTATGACTTAATTCATTCATATTGTTTCTGGTGTATTTAATTATGATTACAGCGTAGGGCCTTACTACAAAATAACATAATCATTGTCAAAAAATAATTTCAGGAGTTAAAGATGACAATGTTTTTGTTCTAAAGAGATTTTTTTACAATGACGTTTAGTTATCTAAATGTCTATTATCGAAAATTTGTCTGCAAACCAGTTTGTTAAACAAACATTGATACCTACTACTCCCACTTATCATATATACGTCAATAAATTACTTCTATCCCAAATATATTTAAGAAACGAGAAATGAAAACAAGTTTTAGTGAAACGAAAAATTCCCACCATTTTCAACACAAAAGAGGTTATAGAACGCGGAAAAAAAACAAGATGGCGCCCGAGAAACTATGGACAGAGGTAGGAAACGCAGTAGAGCAGTTTATTACAAAGTTTCCCTATAACATTGGCATTACGTCGTCACTTCAATGGCGTACAATGGTAGCTTATTGACAGGCTGAATGCTGCACGTTTATATTAAACTTTGCTTTGCGGACCGACCTACGCTAGGGGCAACAATAATCTGTTGTTCCTAATACATTTTTACTAAGCCCTAAGCCGTGATGTGACTGTATAGTCTGTGAAAGTGAGGACCGAAGACAGGGAGGTGGCTTTTGTATACCAATAACTTTTTGACATTCCATTATATATCAGTACATTTATATTTTCTTTAAACTTAAGTACCTACTTAGTTGTTTTCATAATAGAAACCACGTCTTCTTCTCAAGATATAAAAACGATGCGAAGGTGAGGATTTATTATTAAACTTGTATCCCAAAATTTTCCTTGTTCTAAAACCACGTGTCAGAACTCCTATCGATATACTCAGGTCTTTGTTGAATCTTGTAGAGATAGTTTGCTTCATTCGCTCCCTGAGTGAGATGAGAGGCCGTGTCAGAATCTGACTGACGAAACACCTGTACTGTTACAACTCCTGCTTAAAACCGGGCCGTGATATGTCATTAGGCTTAATTCGCAACCCCGGCCGAGCACTGAAGAACAGGTAAGAAGTCAGAATTAAAATCGGATAGGAAAAAAGCTTTATTGACTACACGATTGTCACAGGGGCTGGACAACTGACTGCTGTGCAATGTGCCGCGGATTTGATTTACACACAAAACGAAAATACATCTGATTTACAAGTTGTTGTTTCGAGTTCGAATTTGTATGTTTGTAAACGGAATTAGAAATCTTAGTACTAGGCAATGTTTTTTTAAACAAATGAATGTATTTGTGAACCGTGAATAAACCCCAAAACGAATATCAAAATTCATATTGAAGCAAGCCAAACGAACGGACGGACAAGGGCCAGTTCAATAAATACACTTGCAAAGTTAATTGAGCCCAAACATGGTACATTACAATGCGTACTTAACATTATTTACTTAGATCTAATTACATATTTGTCGAACCCTTATATCACATTAATATTTCATCGAAAATTGTGTACTTATCTACTATTAAATCAATATTCTTACGTTTCTAAGACGATTCATTGAAGGAATGATAACCTGGCAGGCCAGGCCTGATAATGTCTTTATTTGGACTTATTACAGTTTAAATCTATTTATTAGAAGGCAGGCAGATGGATAATATAAGAAACCAGTCTAATTTAGCAGATGGTTGCAAGTGCAATCATGTATCGCAACTCCGGCCTGAAGTAGGGGAAGGAACGGGGTGGGTTTTAGTCAGTAACAGTCTGACCCCTCTTGTCCAAACCAGGGCGGGAGAAGTTAAGTCACCGCGGCCTCGGCCCAGAGCAGGAGAAGGAACGGGGGATTTTTAGTCAGGAAGAGTCTGACACTCTCTCGCCTAACCCTGGGCGGGAGAAGTCATATGATTCGACTGCACGGTTGGTGCGGTGGCTGGGCAACTGGCTGCCGTGCAACGTGTCGCGGGTTCGATTCCCGCACGGAACAACACTTTGTGTGACCCACAAATTGTTGTTCCGGGTCTGGATGTCATGTGCATGTGAAATTGAATGTTTGTAACCACATTCATGACACAGGAGAAAATCCCAGTGTGGGGCAACGTTTATTCAAAAAAAGAAAAAAATATGATGATTTTCCCCTGACAAAAAAGGGCGGGAGAAGTTATTTAATGATTTTCTCCCATAGAAAAAAAAAAGTCTATGTAAGGTTAGTTCAAGTAGCATCAAGTTCATTGAAATAGCGTTAAGTTTGTTTAAATGGTAATGCTTGACGAGGCTTTCAAAATTAATATAAGAGTGACAATTGACATTGGTATCTGCTTTAGACAAGCAGCCTATCGGATATAAACTATTAATTTTATTAATTTAATCGAAGCTGACCTTTAAACCTGCCTACCTTATAAAGGATAGCGTTAAGGACAGAAACGGAGATCTTGAGACGTATGTGGGTAGCTCTTCGAACGGAATTAATTAAAAAAAAGAAAGGAAACTAAAGTTAAGGGGTGTGTTACACTTCCGTTGTCTAGGTAATAAATAAAAAGTACTTCTTGTGAGTTTAATCGTACCTATATAATCAATAAAAAAAAATGCCAGAAGAAATCCACTACTGAGCTAAGGGGAAGGATCTAAGCTTTTCACGACGAAAAAAAACTCAACACTTGCATCCACTAGCTCCGCGCGAATCTGGCGATGTCGTCCGCCAACCTTACAGGAGGCCTGCCTAGGCTACGATATCCGGTCTATAATTGTGTGGTCAAAAAAGTCAGATATAATAAATATCAGCAATAAAAAGGGTATAAAATCTAGATGCAAAACAATACCTTGGACGTCACGACAGTATTGTACGGTCTAGGGTCAAAAGTGCAATTGCACTTTACCAATGCGAAAATGTGTAAAACTTCTTTATAATACAATTCAAAAATCTAAAAATCTGTTAATTACTTTAGAATCTATGCTACAAATTAATTAGTAAAGAAATCTCTGAACCTCAACTATGAAAAAATTAAAACACTTTAGCATTGGTAAAGTGCAACTGCACTTTTGACCCTCACTGTACATCCTATTATTTACAGAAAAGTTGATTATTCCTACGTTTACCGCTTTTATGGTATTAAATGCATGACTTCAGTAATATAAACTAGCTTCTAGCTTAGACAAAAAAATACCCCAAGTGTTTTTCTAGACTGTGCCAAATATGGTGCGAAAGAGACACACATCTATCTATCTATTTATTAACTTAAAACCTTTCGCATTTATAATAATAGTAGTACCTACTTTTATAATAATATGTGCTTAGTTGGACTAACCTACTTACTTAAAAGTCTTGTGTCATTGTTAAAGTAAGTAAAAAAAAAAACTAAAAACAATACAATTCTCGCATTTGTAGACAGAAAAACGTCTCACCCTTAACAAGGGTCGAATTTTATGTGCCACGTTTTTAGTTAATACATTTCGTTTGTTTTCATTCAATCAACTCATCTCAGGTGGTCGAGTCCACTTTGTAACAGATGTTACGTAGTAATCAATGTTTTTACACGACACGACACACAAATGTTTTTGGAATTTACCATTTTCATGTATAAATGTAACCGTGGGTTTCTCAGTAGGCGAGGATATCAATTATATAAGCCTAGCCAATTGGATTAAAAGCTGTTTTTGAAGAACCAATCAGAAACATGTCAAACATGTATCGATAATTATCTCTAAGTAGTATTTGAAGTGTTCACTGCTGAACAAAGGCCTTTTCACGCACGAAGAAGACTTGCTTTCCTCAAGGTGGGGGCGAGAGAGTCAGACCCTAACTTACTAAAACATCCGCGATCCGTAATGAATCCTCAACCCATATAAATTGCCCCCTCTTTGACAATAACCTATCTCGCTCAAGGAAAAAGCATTGATAACCATGGCGACTATAAAACCAACCATCGAAAACTAAAAAATATAGCAAGTGGGATTGTGAATGTGTTATTTACAGTCCCACTTGCTCGCTTTACATAAAAAATATAGCTAAGGGCTTTTCCTGTCTGACTACTCTTAGTATAGGTAAACGCCGAAACAAATTCAGAGGTCACAGTTTCTTTTAAGGTCCAGACAGTCAAAAAATATCTTTGACAATCGTGCAAGTTAATTCTGTAGTCATATTATGGCTTAAATAAAACTAGAATATTAGACTGACCGCGTGGGCGGAGGATGCAAATCTCACACAAGTAGAAATCATAAAATATTGCAAGCTGGTAGCAAGCAAACGGATTTCCCTGAGGACACCTGTTTATGACCTGACGTTATATTGTTACAGAATAAAAAAGTTTG